GCAGTCTGGCCACTTCTTCCCCCATCAACGAGGCTGGTCTCTCGGTTCAACGTGGTCAGCGGATGTCTCACGGCTGGCCAGCGACCTTGCCTGAAAGGTTCCAGGATATGACTGATCGATATGGAGATAGAATTGCCGTCGCGGACCAAAGTGGCGATTTCAGCTATATGCAGCTTTACGCCAAAAGCACCCATATTGGAGAAGCTTTGCTTCAGAAAGGAGTCCGGTCTGGAGATACAGTCGCAGTCTTGTGCCACCCGTCAATGAATTCGGTGGCGAGCATGCTAGCAATTCTCCGCATTGGTGCGGTTTATGTGCCCCTCGACCTGAGCCTTCCCGCTGCAAGACACAAAGCTATGATCTTGGCTTCCCCTATCAGGGCACTAGTTTGTGCCTCTTCTACCGCTGAAAGTGTCTCAGAATTCGGGGTCTCAACCATTCTCAACCTTTCCGAGATTCCAGACACTCAAATGCCGTCCACGAGATTTACAGACAGTGCGAAGGGTGATTCTTTGTCAATTTTACTGTACACAAGCGGCTCAACAGGTCAACCAAAGGGCGTCTGTCTGCCCCAAAGCGGCTTTATTAACTACCTCGCTGCCAAGAGGAAAGAGCTCAGTCTTGATAGCTCAACGGTTGTCCTTCAACAAAGCTCCCTGGGATTCGACATGGGACTTGCACAGACTCTCAATGCCATAATGAACGGAGGAAAGCTTGTCATTGTGCCACAAGAAGTACGAGGGGATTTGATTGAAATTGCAAGAATCATCCGCCACCGCGAAATAACTTTCACGTTAGCCACTCCGTCTGAATACCTCGTCATGCTTCAACATGGCCGTGAATACCTCAACCATTACGCCGGATGGCGGCACGCCTGTCTGGGCGGCGAGCCTTTCACGGACCAGCTCAAGAGGGAGTTTTCGCGGCTAGGAAAGAATTGTCCTGTGGTACAGGACTCCTACGGTGTGACCGAGATTTCCGCGTGCACAACCTTTGAGACGATGTCCGCCTCACAGCTTGAAGGGGCACGGAGTGTTGGGAGACCAATTCCAAACACCTCTCTGTACATTGTGGACCCGGACTGCAAACTTGTTGCAACTGGAGAGCCTGGTGAAATATGTATCAGTGGCGCTGGTGTTGCATTGGGATATCTGAACGAGGAGCAGACTAGGTTGAAATTCGTGGAAGATCCATTTGCTCTGCCGGATGATAAGGCCAGAGGATGGACTCGGATGTACCGCACCGGAGACAAAGCTAAACTGCTCGAGGATGGTTCTCTAATCCTCTTGGGCCGAATGGACGGAAACACAGAAGTCAAGCTCCGAGGACTTCGTATTGACCTCGAAGATGTGGCCTCCACCATGGTAAACTGCCACCCGAATCTGCTCGCATCTGCGGTCGTGTGCGTCAAAGGCAAGGGGGTTTCAGAAATGCTCGTCGCGTTTGTTGCCCTGATGCCTGGCCAGACTGCTAGTAACGTCGAGCTACAACATCTCGCCCGCAACCTCCCCTTACCACAATATATGCACCCTTCAACAGTCATCTGTCTAGATGAGCTTCCCCGAAATGCAAACGGAAAGATTGATCGGAAAAGGATAGACGCTTTGCCATTTACAGAGCCAACCACTATAAGCCAATCATCACGACGGCTTACGTTGGGCGAGGGTGAACTTAAGCTTCTTTGGCAAGTTCTGCTGCCTGCTAAACACATCCAACCCGAGTCTGACTTTTTTCTCCTGGGGGGGAATTCTACGTTGCTGGTCCGATTACAAGGCGCGATCCGCACCTCCATCGGGGTATCAGTCACTCTCCGAGAACTGTACAGCGCCAGCACACTGGCACAGATGGCGCTCAAGGTTGATGCTCGGAAGGCTGAAGCACCATCAATGTCGATCAATTGGCTTGCTGAAACGGCTATACCGCAAAACATCCTCGATTGCGCGAGCTCAACGACAAATATTAGGCGACCTAAACAGTACCAAGGATCAGGTTGTCAGATCCTACTCACCGGTTCGACAAGCTTCCTTGGGAGAGCCCTCGTGCAGGCTCTCCTCCAGGTGCCCGAAGTGGACAGAGTGCATTGTATCGCCGTGGAAAAAGAGCAAGAGCAAGGACTTCCCAGCAGCAACAAAGTATCGCTCTATTTTGGAACCCTTCTCGACCCAATGCTCGGTCTTTCAACCACCGAATGGGAGTCCCTGCAGTGCTGTATCGATGTAGTCATCCACAACGGCTCGAACGGCCACTGTCTCAACACCTACAGCTCTTTGAAAGCGCCGAATCTGGGCTCAACCCATCGCCTCGCCCAGTTTGCCGTTCAGTCAAATATCCCCCTGCACTATATCTCTTCCGGGAGAGTCATCCTCCAGTCCGGGCAGACCGCCCTCGGGCCCACATCAGTATCTTTGCACCCTCCTCCGCTCGACGGGTCTGACGGTCTCACAGCCACAAAATGGGCCAGTGAAGTCTTCCTCGAGCGCTTCGCCGAGCACACTGGTATAAGTATTAGTATTCACCGTCCCTGCACACCTATCGGCGATCAAGCTCCAGCCCAGGACGCATTGAACTCGCTCCTGCGTTACTCTGTCACTCTCGGTGCGACACCCCGCCTGACAAGAATGGAAGGATACTTGGACTTCCAGAAAGTCGAGATTATTGCGGAGGAGATCGCTACGCTGGTGACATCCAGGTTCACCAAGCGTTCGACTGCAGCATCGTCTACAGCGTTTGGGGTGTCCTTTTTCCACCATTCGAGCAATGTCAAGATTCCCGTGAAGAGTTTCAAAGACTATATGGAAAAAATACATGGTCGATCATTCCATGAACTCAGTTTGCAGGAATGGAGCTCTTTGGCGTTAGAACAGGGCATTGAGCCACTTATTCCTAGTTTTTTGGAAGCGGTGGATGATAACGAGGGGACATTGCGATATCCTTATTTGGGTGAATAGTCGTTGTTGAGGTCTATAGAGTAGTTATATAATATTCCTGTTACCGCAAGCGGTAAGAATATCCATTCCATAGCTCTGGCCAAGGATAATTGCGTATAAAGGGCGAGCTAAACGGGCTGCAAAGGCAACTGAAGCCATCAATTGCAGGTAGCCGACCTATTAAGAAGCCTGTTGCGGCCTGTTCGTTCCATTCGACTAGCTAAGTTATACTTAGCTGCCAGACTATGCGTTCTGGATGAGGTGTATTCATTTGTAATAGAGAATTCAGGCGCATTGGGCTGCTGCTGCTTTCGTAGCATGAAACGACCTCGGTGACAGTTATTCTCTCGACGAAAAGCATCACAATCAAACTTGGTACCTTGTAAATCCAGCTGCATGATGGCTAGATCTAGAACTGTTCTCAAAGCTTTTCTTCGCCTTGTGCCTGTGCTCTCTTCAAGCCTTTGCCTACCTCATGGGACCGAACCATCCCACACATCATCTCTAGGGGATCGAAGAGAATTTCAATAAGCCTTTCGGGAGTAACAATTTCGGACCGTGCATTGCAGAGCTCCTCTCGTGTTGCCTGAAGCTTGCTGCTGTTTGCATGAAGGCGTGGCCGATTGTATCGCAGCTCTTTGGTAATTGGGCCAATATAGATAGCGCAGTCTGATAACGGGAGGGCCAATCTTCCCAAATGAAGCTGTCTGAATGATCTACCTACACTAATCACTCTACTATGAGGGCAAAGAAAATGATGTTCAAATGTTGGATGGTCGAGCCAAATCCGAGAATGCCCTGAGCAGACTGACCGGCCAATATCCTACAAGATGAAATCGCTAAGTACATTAGTCCAGCATACGGATGGGCCGGCAGTGTTGACCATACTATGCAGCGAAAGGTCATGCCTCATGCATACTGCCGGACGGTGGGAATGGAACACTGCTGGCTATAGGACATGCTCTTTCAATCGCATTATTGAAACCACCGGTTGGGCTATTCCTAGAGAAAAATGACCCCTCAAGAAAAGGGCATCGTCTACTCGCCAGATGTATGACCTTTCGCTGCATAGTATCACCGAAGCCTCCCAAACCACTCAGAGGTGGTCAACACTGCCGGCCCATCCGTATGCTGGACTAATCAACGTGACCATTCAGGTAAAGGGCCTCCCAATAGCTTGACGTGGAGGTTTATCATTGGCGTGCAGCTCCCGCATTCAAGGATTATTACTTGTAAGTTTAAGATGCCGCTTTATTACTCTAGTAAATTCCAAAGGAGTCAAGAATCAGGATCTAGTGTTAAGGAAGACGTTGAAAGAGACTCCGCCACCAGTGAGCCTATAGTTCGGGATAGGAGGTGTTATAGCTTCTTCATTCTCAGAGCTTGTGGTATGTAAGGCTCTGCACTAGGTCTCATTGTTAATTCTTGTATGACTTGAATAATCTTAAGGCTGTATATACATGCATATCTATATATATTATACGACATGGGCTATAACCACAAATTGGGATTTCGTAGAATCAAAGGTACTTCTAGAGGAGCTCAACAGTTAGAGAGAATATAAGGTGGTAGTATTTCCTGGTCATGGGGAGAGGAATAGAAGGACAAATAATCTAAACATTATATATTAGCATACTTATTCAAGACAATAAATCAACGCTAGCAGATGAAGTGAGACCTTAGTAGAGGATGATACCGCTCATTGCCCTTGTTTGGACAGCTACTGAGAATAATGAGGAGTAGAAATGATGTGAAGGATGGGAACCTGGAACCTGGGAATGGGCTGGTATTTCGTAAATCCGTATGAATGGTTTCTGTGGGTCCATGGACACAGGTATTAGCAACATTTGTGTAAAGCCAAGGCCTTTCCCGTCCCCACCGAAGGTATGCTTTAAGCATCCTCATACAAAATATTATGCCATATGGCACAGATAACTACTAAGTTGAAATTTATCAAAGTAGCATTTGTAAGCTGGTTGGACATTTTACAAATCATGGCTTTTGCCTATAATATATAAAGAGGCGCAGTATTCCTCGAGCAGGGGAACATGGTTGATACAATCTAAGAGCACCATGTCGATTCCTCAGTCCTACAAAGCGTTTCGACGCAGCGAGGATGGTTCACGTCTTGAGATGGCGGAAGAGAAGCTGCCATCATCACTTCATCCCAACGAGGTTCTGATCCGCATCCATGCTGTTTCTCTCAACTATAGGGACGTTGCGATGATGCACGGGAAATACCCAGTGCCAGTGATAGCACGTGGTATCCCTGCTTCTGACTGCGCTGCCGAAGTTGTCGCGGTCGGATCTGAAGTGAGTGGTTTCGCACCAGGGGATCGCGTTGCGCCCATTTTCGATTTGAACAACCTCCTGGGAACCGAGGAAAAGACAGCGGCTCTAGGTGGAGATGTTGATGGTGTGCTGCGGCAATTTGCAGTGTTTGACCAGAAGGTGTTGGTCCATTTGCCCAAGCATCTTTCTTGGGAGGAGGTGAGCACGACTTGGCCTGACTAGAGATATCACAGTGCTGATCTTCTGCTCTCACAGGCGGCCTGTATCACATGCGCGGGAACAACTGCTTGGACAGCTCTGGAGATGCCACGATCAAACGGCACTGCCTTACTTCAAGGTGAATATTTCTAGTCGACGCCATTTGAAAAAATGCTAAGTTCATGGGACCAGGTACTGGAGGCGTGAGCATGTTTGCTTTATTAATCTGCCTAGCAGCCGGCATTCGCCCCATCATCACATCTTCTTCCGACAAGAAGCTCGACATAGCGCGTTCCCTGGGCCAGCCAGGTGAGGTGGACATCATTAATTACCGAACCCATCCTGAATGGGATGAGCGAGCACTTCATCTTACCCACGGACGAGGTGTCGATGTTGTGGTTGAAAATGTGGGCCCTACCACTCTAGCCCAGAGTCTCCGGACCCTTGCGCGCAGAGGTACTGTTTCGCAGGTTGGCTTTTTAGGAGGGTTCAACACAGATCACTTCCCTGACACCCTTGGACCTCTACTAGCCAAGAGCGCTGTCCTAAGGTACGTCAATTTCGTTTCCTCTATAACCCTTGAAAAACGCTAAGGTTGTCACCTTCAGGGGGATTGCCGTGGGGTCAAAGATCGACCAACAGAATCTATGCGACTTTCTGGCACAGAAGAAAATCTGTCTCAAGCCTCTATTGGATGACATCATCTTCTCTTTCGAAGATTCGCAGGCCGCATTTGATCACCTATATGCCGCCAGACACATGGGCAAGGTCGTCATCAAGGTTTAGAATCCAGAAATTGGATGCGTAGGAAAAGGAGATGGGAAGTCCCACATGCAAGTGCAGAGCAATATTATCTTAGCTAGGGCTAGAGTCTTATAGAATAGACTGCTTATATGACTGCACAATTCCAGCAAGCCCAGGGTATTGTGAAAAGTCTCCCATTTGAGCGGATGCCCATGGCGTTGCCCATTTCCACACCAAAGGCAATTGTCCAACTGACTGACTGGCCACATTAAGGCGCCTGAGGGCAGGAAAGAACCCACCAAGGCAAACTGTGATGCCAGCCAGCTCAAAGGTCATAGTTCCCAAGTTGTCTGCAGCAATGGGGAAACATCTCTAATGGATCCCAGTGACTGTCACACTGGAGCAATACCAACTGCAGAGATGTTATTACTATCACTACTAGATTTAAAGGGCGAGGGGCTTTCATAACATTTTTATTAGCGGGCTTCACCGGCGGCTGACCACAAGGTTTCAGTTTGCACTCATAAGCACAGTTGCAACCATAATCTAAATTTGTTGATGTGTAGACATCGCGACGTTAGCTTCTGTTTCCTCTAGTTCTGACATGGCCTCATCTTGATCCATTCAACCTTTACACCGAGCGGTATAGGTCCAACGTCATTCCAAGTGAACAAGGCCTTATTAAATAACAATCACAAGAAGTCAAACGTAACATACCACAGACTGTGTCCATCACAATGAGATTGTGCCATTCTGCAATAGCCACATGCCTATTTGATTCGTGGAAGAGGATTTTCTTCCTTTTTGATTCTGAGAGTGGGCTATGGGCAAAGCCCTGTCTCTGAGTTCAGTCATAAGTCATGATAAGGCAGGCCTCCCCACAGTTAATGTTCCAAGATGCAATCAGCCAGCCATGAATCCTTGTTATCAGTCTTTATAAGCGCAGCGCACTAGATGATGTGAGATGGGTGCTATTGTAGAATCTCTATACAGCACACCATTGTTGAATCCTATTGTTATTTCTGAGAGCAAAGTGAACCACTCCAGTTCATAAGGGGATCATAGTATTATTATAGAGAGTCAGTCTTGAACTGGCCATAGTCGATAGGATCAAAGCTATTAGACAGGAGAATTTTTAATATAAGTAATACTTTATCTAAGGTTAATAATGCTCTCTTTAGTATTAATTAAGCTTTAAATATTAATATAACTCTATAAAGCTTAATACTAGTACTAAAATATAATAGAATAAAGACCTAAATATAAGTAATAGAAAGATTTAGAGTAATAGGATACTTATAAGCTTATATTTCTACTTATAACAGAAGTTAGAGATATAGGGCTTAAAGTATATATTAAAGTTAATATTAATATCTAGTAGATCTATTATTACCTATCTTTATAAGTCTAAGAACTAGTCTCCCTAAGATTAGCACCCCCAGTGCTTAGTAAAGTTATAAATATAGCCAGCTCTATAGGTACCTCCTAAGGAAGTATTATACTCTGACCTAATAGATCTTAATAAGTAGAATAATACTTAGTAAGAGATCTGTAATATGATGGCACTATAATATATAATTATCACCTTTAATAGGCACTGTAATATATCCTAATCACCTTTAATAGTGCTGTAATATATCCCCTAAACTAATTTATAGATAAAATCCTATACAAGTAGGTGCCTGGTTATCATCTCTAGTAACCTCCAGGCCTCTAGTAATAAGCTCACACCTCACTGTAGTGCTGGAGTTATATTTTAAGGCAGAAGTCAATGCATTTTTACTCCGTAGTATCTTTTGTATTGTATTCTGTCCAATCGGCTTAGGGAAATGCTTATAGGGCGCGGAAGACCTGCTAAATAATTCAGATCTACTCTGTATGCCCTAATAATATTGCATAACACTTGCCTCTGGATAAAATCAGGGTGGTTACCTAGGTCAGTAGATACAAGGACATGGTTTTATAATTATAAGAGTATTATAAGAGATAGACTAAGTAATTCATTGTTATATATATCTTAAGAGTAGTAATATTATATTATTTTTATAACTACATAGAGTAATCCTCCTCTAGACATGATATCTTTATATACCACTGCCCTATTAATATTATGTCCTGATAAAGCCTTAGTATTTCTAATTTTCTATAGAAAAACTTACTGTCTATACAAAGCCATATTTTAATTAGTATATATACTGATAGTTCAGTAAATTCCTTATCTTTTAGCTAATCTCTAAGGCCTCCTAGAAAGTTACCTCTCTAGTAAACACCGCACAGCGCATACCATATTATCTCTTCAACTAAAGCTCATCCTAATTTCAACCAGACTACATCTAGAACAAGTGTAAGTAGTAAATCTATATAGTATAATTAATAACTAACATTCTAATAAAGAAATTACTAGTAGTAATCCAACATCAAGTCTGCTAAAATACAGTTTAACTGCTAGATATGCCAACGCACCCACAAAAGATAATACTGCTCTACCTCAAGTTATGACTTATATGCACGCATCTGCCATGCTAGATAGCCATGATACTAGATACAGTTAACAGGGCTTATCTAGCTTAGGGGGCTCACTTCACCTAAGAAATCAACTCTCTCAATCACCCCTCTCATTTTATCGACCCTCTCGATTATATGGTAGGAGCTGAGTTATGACTGCACATCTGTCTCACACATCAGAAGAAGAAGGTGGAAAGCTGGCAAAACTGCAGGATATCTAGGCGCCAGGGTAGAACAAGAGAGTAAGAGAAAGCAAGCTGAAGAAGACTAAAAGCGCAAGAAGAAGGAAGGAGGCAAGAAAGAAAAGAGAAGGGTTAAACTATTAAAGCAGAGGCTCTGGCTGCTCAACCGTCTAAAAGAAACACCCTTAAAGTCTAGTAACCTGTTTCTCTTCAATAAGTGAAGCTAAGATGAGCTTTCTGTATATAGCGCCATTGCTCTGTATATCGCATGCTTGCAATTAAATTGGTAGTTTCTCGTCTACAATCAAATCCAGAAAATGAAGTACAGTACAATCAATTTACGACCTGATGTCACCAGCTACTGGGTTCCGATTTCAAGCATAGAGATTCTAGGCAACCATAGCTTTGAAGTAAGCAGGACAATTCAGCTACGCAATGCGACAAAAGCCACTCAATTCCACTGTCGTCCCATGTCCCATAACATCAGGACGGTATATCGAGGTTCCATATGCCTGCAAGAACAATTCTTGACGGGTTTCTTGTCAAGTCCAAAAATAGCTGAAGTGCTATAACTTCATGGTGAGCATCCTATTTGCTTGCCCTTCTATGACGTTCTTACTACATGGCGTTCCTCTGACCTACATCTACAGCGTCAGTGATGCAGAAACAATGCTCCAAGGGTTGCCCGGTTCCGGGTAGGCTAACCCCTTTTGGGGCGGAGGCCCAGTTTTCCCTGGTAGGGCTGGCGGATACCTTTTATATGATCAACACCCAACTTCCAACTTCTTCCTCTACCATTACGCTTCGCACAGTGAAGTCTACCTTTCGTTCAAATCATGTCCCTCTACACTGGTTAAAAAATTATCTGGCTGTTCTCATCACACCACTGTAAACAGTTTTCTACTGTCTGAGCATCCTGTAACACCTGGACCAACGTCAATCAAAGCGGACTTACAAGCTTCACTCTCATTGAATCCTTTGCTATCGATTGTTCCGATATCATCAGTATCATCAGTATGGCAAGCTCCAGCCACCCCGGCGCTCTCTTTGAGGATCCTCGCCGCGTGGAGCTTATCAACGAGATTGCCAAAGCATTCAACACCTTGGCATTTGAGGGATCCGATGATACCATAGAATCACTTAGGGATTGCTACGGCTGCCTATGGCTCGCAGATCTGGAAAGGCTGGATGGTTTGGTTTCTCAGTATCTCCCGCATAATCCTCGTGGCCTCCTGGGCCTGCTAAGATTCACGGAGGTAGAGGGCAACATAATCGATAGATGTTAGCCATCATCCAATCTTAATTGTTATGCGAAGCTAACGATGTGTTCTGTTCAGGGACCCAAAGGGACAAAAGGCCTGCATCAAGAGCTCCATCCGCTCCGGCTACACCTGTGAAGACGGAAGTACCCAACACAGTCCTGTCCTCCACCCCTGTCATCGCTGGGCCGAGCGCGGACGAAGGTTCTCCTAGTACTCCACGAACCCTGAAGGTGGTGACGCTCCCATCATCGCCAGAGGGGTCCGGTAAGGGGCGGAAAAGAAAAGGGGAGCCGCTGAGCCAGCCCTGGGGAAAGCCGCCTAGAAGTGAACCCGCCAAGCGCGACGTAAGCTAAGCCCTTCCGGCCAGAATCTATTGTAACTGCATTACCACTAACCGCGTGATATCCTAGTGTCGTTTGCGCGATCAGACCTGTATTCTGACGAAGTGCAGAAAGGACATATGCCAGGCGTGCCATTTGTACCCCTACTGGATGAGTGACCCGAATACTAAAGGCGTCAAACAATTTTTTAACGCTCTGAGGGATTTTTGGTCTGCTGAGAAGGTGGAAGCATGGCACAATGCCATTTATGGACATGTTCTCGGGACTGAAAGGGCCGCAAACCTCATACTTCTCTCCCCCAACGCCCATGAGCTGCACACCAGGGGATACTTTGCGCTTGAGCCTGTCGAGGAAGATCCAGAAGGCAAGTGGATCACGGTGAAGATTTGGTGGCTGAAGCAACATACAGGTGTTGATTTCAACATTGTTCCGCAGCTTCCACCAAATCAGCACCCAGGAGAGTATGAGGTTGGGCTCCATAATATCCGCGACGATAAACCACTCCTGTCTGGTGACCCGATCACTCTTGAGACCCCTGATCCAATTAATTATCCCCTGCCCGATTTTCGGATCCTCGAATTGCAGTGGATCCTTAATCGCGTGCTTGCCCTAAGGGGAGGGGCGGAGCCGAAGGACCTGGAAGAATATGAGTCAGATGAAGACTCTGCTGACGAACTGGAGTATTTCGCGAGGCCCGTGTTGCAATCGCCAGAGCTTCCTGGCCCATCCTCTCCGCCATCCTCTCTCACGAATATCGCCAACGATGAGCCCAAGGCCAACCCCGTGGTCGCGACGACCGATAGGCTCGAACAAGGGCTCATCGAGGAGTAGTTTGCTGTTTTGCAACAAGGACTCAGAATCGAGAACTTTGCCTCGCAACATGTCGATATGATACACTCGGGCCGTCCCAGCGGTTTAGCGAATCATTCATTCCCATGCAGGGTTTGCTCTCCTTGATTAACGCGGCATTAAGACAATTGCACCCTTCAGCCCGACATGTGAGTCGGTGTCACTGTTAGAGGGCTTCCAACTACAACTTCAGTTCGCTACTCCTGATCTCACCAAGAATAGAGTTTAGGTTTTCCGATGATATTAGCTTGTCTCAGCTTCATCGAGAGGGATGGTTAAATATTCAGCGGAGACATTTAATTCAATTGATTTGTGGGTCCTTATTCATAGCTCAAGAAAATGTTTAGAAAAAAAGTTAAGTCACAAGGGGTTCCACTTCGTTGATAGACCCGTCCAAGGCAACATAACCACCTAGGATCAAATCCTAACAAACCAACATAGTTTGTCCCAGAATTGGAGCACGCCTTACTTTGTGTCTGCTAGTAGCTCCCGCTCCGCTGCTAGCGCTGGAAAGCGTCCTCCGGGGTTGGTGACTGCGACTCCTACCTATCAGTAATTGCCTGGTTTTCTCAGAAGCCTGGGCCCCAGTTCTGCAGGGACAAGATTACGTCTGATAGTAGTGCTGGAGTCCTACTATCCTGCCTATCAACAGTCGTTGTGAGGCAGTCGCCCAAGCTAACGGAAAGCACTCATAAGACGCCAAGCGTATCATGCGGGGTTGCTGACCGGATTGCTGATTTCCTTATATCATCAGGGACTATTCATTCCAACCGAGGGATTTAGACACTATAACAGAGCAGGGTCTCCCGTGCCACAAAACAAGTTCGCGCTTACATTTTCCGATTACTGAGATTATGGCTCGGCAAACAAGGACGGCAAATAGGGACATGGGTATTTCGCATAGGGCAGTTGTTGTGGAACTAGTCGAAGTACTATAGATGCCATCGCCATATGATTACCCTCCGGAAAGTCGTCTATACGTATCCACCGCAATGTATTCTTTACAGTTTCAACACGTTGAAAGGATAGCAAACGGAGGGTGATATCGACCAGGAGGCCCAAATAGAACCGACTCACTAAGTCTCATACTCATCAGTGAAATCATTCAGTTTCCCAGGCCTAGACCCGAAGGCCAAGAAGATGATGCTCGAGATATTGGGATTTTTGGTACTTCGCGAAAATCGCTGTTATAATCGTACAGACAATCGATACCGCGGCCCAAATAGGCTCAGTTAAACAACCTTCGGACCTGACTATCAGTGGGGTTTGGAATTGTGATGGAGCATCTAGCCAGAGTCTGCACAGATCACTATTCATAGTCCGGTGGGACGTCAGTTTTCGGAATAAGACTACCTGGTCACAAGGCTTCATCTACAAAATAGGGCCATAGACCCATCCGAGGCAAGGATCAGCTATGAAGGCCACTAACAACATTTTAACAGGAATTCAACGGTCGATATGATCGCAAAGCTTGCTGTTCTAGGCAAAATGTTTCACTTTCACAGCAAGCCTCGGGAGGATCCCCCGTTCACATGTGGGGTTACATCGACTCGTCAGCCACGAGGCAGCATGATTCGTTCGAACCCCTGTCTGCAATATCGCATCTCGCTTTCTTTTTGCGGGGTAGAATATAGTCTCATTTTCCTGTTACGGCATTGGGGGAAGATTTCTCGGAACCTGCGAAATTGGGCACAGACATCTTGATTCTTGCAAGATCATGAAGACCGGGAGTCAACACGGACAGACGGGGTATAAATTCCCCTGACCAACTTCTTCAACAAACGCGGGCAGTAAACCATCACCTCATCATCACCACCTGAAGTGAAAATGCGTTTCCTCTTCTCTCTCCTAGCGGCCACGGCCCTCGCCAGCGCCATTCCAACCGCAACAATCACCAAACGCGACGCCACAGCCGTCGTAGACGCCGTCAACACGATCGCCAGCCAAATGGTCGTCCTCAACAACACCGTCACCTCCTACGACGGCGGCATCCAAGGCACCCTCACCGCCCTCAAGATCGAAGTCGAATCCGTCAAGCTCTCCTGCGACCTCCGCGACGCGATCTCCACCACGCAGGCCGCCGCCAACTTCACAAACGCCGAGTCGCTGACCGTCGCAACCGCATTCATCAACCTCCAGCCGCAGATCTTCTCCACGCTGAACAATATCGTCGCGAAGAAGCCAAAGTTCGATACAGGGTTGTTGGGGATCGGATCGTTGGCGTTCCTGGTTAAGGGCAATTTGCAGCAGCAGAAGGATTTGTCGGGGCAGCTTGGGAACGCGGTTGCGGTGAAGTTGGCGCCGTTGTATGCGCAGCTGGCGCCGATGATCAATAAGCAGATTGCGGATGCGTTCGATAAGGCTATTGCGGCGTATAATTGAGAGGATGGTCAGGGATGTGTTGTGGATGGGATACTGTCGATAGTCGGTGAAATAATGTCTGTTGTTGCTACTCAGTACCGAGGGTAGCATTGCAATGGTAGTACAACATGAGGGCATAGGATTCACCACGATGATATCTTTTAATGTAATCATGGATGCTCAGTTAGAGACTTAATGCCATCTTGTACCGTCACAATGAAGGTCGAAAACATGCGCAGTATTAACTCACTACTGGTGCTCATCTGTGCGATCAATCTAGCCAGTAAGATTAGATGCGGCTAATTAACCTCTGCCTACAAAAAATAAAGCATCATATAGAGACGGAAGTATCATTGTAGCAAAATATCGAGTTAATAATACAAAGCCGAAATCATAAATCATCAATCGTGCAATTTCATGGTATCAAACTCATTCCATCACAAAGGATTAAGCATTAACAAATATCATTCTCATCCATCCCCCGTCACTTAGAAACCACGCTGGGTTCCCATAGTGCCTCTGTTGTCCAAGTCGGAATCGACACGAGGGTCAAGCTTGTTCGCGACATTGGAGCCATGAGGACCGGCCGTGGTTCCTGTACCAGTGCCAGCGCCAGCGCCAGTGTAGCTGCTTCCAGCCATAGCCTCGTGGCGAGCGCGGTTGTCCTGGTCACTATCCACACGAGGGTCGAGCTTGTTGCCGATGTTGGAGTCGTGAGGTCCAACATTGGAGGAAGTGTTGCCGTAGCCTGTCGTTCCAGTTCCGGTTCCGGAGCCGAAGGCGCCAGTGCCAGTGGTAGTGCCGGTGCCAGTACCCAGACCACGGTTATCTCTGTCGCTGTCGACGCGGGGATCGAGCTTGTTCGCAATGTCGGAGCCGTGGGGTCCGGCGGTGCCGCCCATGGCGGAGTGCCGGGCGCGGTTGTCCGCGTCGGAGTCAACCCGGGGGTCGAGCTTGTTGGCAATATTGGAGTCGTGGGGTCCGACGTTGGAGCTGGCGCTGCCGTAAGTGTCGCCAGCGGTAGTGCCTGTGCCGTAGCCGCCGGTGGTAGTACCACGGTTGTCCTTGTCACTGTCCACGCGAGGGTCTAGCTTGTTGGCAATGTTGGATCCGTGAGGACCAGCATTGCTGCTTGTGTTTTCATAAGTGTTGCTAGATCCGTATGTGTTGCTAGTGGTTTCGTAGGTGTTGCTGCTACCATAGGTGCCAGAGGTGGGGTTTCCACGGTTGTCTGCAAAAGTTAGATACCCAGCAGAGTCAGAGTCAGAAGGTCAGCATACCTCTGTCGCTGTCTACGCGAGGGTCGAGCTTGTTGGCAGTGTCCGATGTATGAGGACCAGCAGTACCTCCCATGGCCTCATGGCGAGCGCGGTTGTCTAACAAGGAGAAGGGTTAGTCGGTATCTTTGTCATTATTGGATACTGGTGAACATACCACGGTCGCTATCGACCCGAGGATCCGCCTTGTTGGCAACGTTGGAGTCATGGGGCCCCTGGTTCGTTTTGTTGGAGTCACCATGGTGGCCAGTCAAGGCCTCCTTCACCTTGTGCATCATGTGGGACATCTTGTAGAAGACTTGCAATGTTTTGTATTCGAATTGGTAGGTGTAGTTTTGTTATGAATTGCAGATTGGTTCGACCAACCTTAAGACGAATGATCAATCCTTTTATAGAGCATGTTCCTCACATTTCATGTTTGGGGATTACGTCAACCCGGGGAGAGTTGTGGTATCCCTGGAGTGTGGCAAGGAGCGATGCCGTCATCTCGCGGTCATCGTGCGGAGAGTCAACCACAACCAGCTGCACATCATCGTCAGTGGTTCAGTTTCAGCCACATGTCATGACTGATCCATTTCATAAATTTTGGGTGCAGCCTTATTGATGTAGGTGGGAGCATGGATCTCGTTGTTGTTCTCGAAGCTGTAGCTCTCTAATGGCAGGGTATCCACCAGGCCGCAAATCAATTGCGTTGCGCAACCCAGCACCAATGATATATATTTAGCCCATTGTACAGTCGATCAGCTTCCTTAACCTTCATACAAGTGAACTATCTCAGCGGAATAGCAAATCCGTGGCCCCCAGGAACTTTGTGATTCGATGAATATCGTCGTCATCATCTCAGAGCATCCGGTGGGTGTGGCACCCTCGTGACTATTCCCGTTGGGATAGACAAAGTTAATTGCAGCTAAGCTGCTGATCATTCCAATCTGATAATCACTTCTACTACCTCTCGGTACTCCGTGCATATGAGATAGGGTTGAAGCCTTGTAAGACAACTATGACTTGGATATGATGTCGGTGTTTGTACCAAAGAAGCAGCGATCGGCATTGCCCTAGGCACGTCCAAGTATAAAAGTGGGGCGCATAAGATGTCATGTGCCTTGGCAGGCAACAATAACATCCATGGATTATGTACTGTATTTAGTAGTGGTGTCGCTGTGATGAGAAAGATGCATAGAATGTCGTGATTTTCTGCCTGTACTAGCTTACACTGTGCACTGTATACTCTAGTGGTTTATGTCAATTGCATAAATGTTATCTAATCCTTGAAGAATAAGACTATGCCATCAGACCACAATCGCTATGTTTTCCAGATGGTAGACGTCATTATGCGCGTCCCCGGAATAGAACGCGTGGAGCTGATCGAAGTTGATAAAGGTACTTTAAGACGCCCACTATTACATAAGGGAAGCTCGTCATAAGGCGGTTTTATCTGATGTCAAACATCTTGATCATTGGTTAATGCATTTAGACACACAAGCAAGATATACATAACTAATGTATCCCAGTAGAGTATGGCAAAATATCCGCAGAGGTCGAACGTGCGATTCAAAGCGGGATTGCCGTGGTCAAGCTTTGGTCACAGTTCTTGTTTTCCGGCCGTCGGAATGTCGTATGTGGCCGATGTGGCCAGCTCTCGTAGTCAAAGACTTGGAGTTCGACTTCGACAAGCCGAAACCCCGTAAGAGATACCTAGTCAGTATGCCAGAATAGTGTGGCTTGCCCCCCCCCCCCCCCCCCACATGCTCGCGATGCTCCTGCTCGAGCTGTTGCTGTTGCAGCCGACGTGCCTTGCGACGTTCCCTCTAGTTGGGTCCGTCCATATGAGCACGGACCAAAGGCGGCTACTTCCAGTAGCAAGGACCCTGGTCTAATCGAATCCATTAATTGAACTGTTTGCATGGCCGGATAGTTCAGAGCACCGACGCGATAAGAAGACGGTCCTCTAGGTTATGTAAGGTCTTTGCGAGGATTCTCAACAGTTCATCGTGAACCAACTCCAAGGCTATATACATGAATGGCGCATAATTGAGGGCACTTTCTTTGAGTCTGTAGACCAAGGGCCTTGTCAAGACCGTCTTCATGCATCCATGGGAGAAAAGAATTATCACTATGGACCGTTTCAAACACGAAAGGAATTCAATCAAGGCGCTGTTGAAGCGCTTAAGAACGCAAGACCCTGCGGAGAACTAGTTGATGAGGATGACTACCGTCTAGCAGAAGAGATTCTTGCATCAGGGGAGGATGGGCAAGATGAGAGGAAAATCTTGACTCATGGTGACCTACACCCCACTAATATCATCATCAACGATGGTAAGGTAGCTGGGATTATTGACTGGGGTGAAGCTGGATACAGTATTGCGTCAAGGGAATACTTTGGCTTGATTTGGATGACGCCGGAGTCATCATGGAGAAAGTCAGCATCTACTATTCTGCCCTCAGATGAGTATGAGTTTTGGGGCTAAGGTGAATTATTCCGTGTCTCAATACACGGGTATCTAAGTGTACATAGTCTGCATGAACGTTGTTTTAAAGGTTGTTCAATTATTCCAATAATCTTTTTCCATGCCCTGCTGTCGTTTCAATTCCCTTACTCATGTCTCAGTAGCGCCAGTTTAATAAGCTTCTCTGCTTCAAGAGAAATTAGTGCGTCAACGAACGGCTGGTCACAACGCGAGGAGACACCGAGACGATACTATACAATTTTCTATCTAACCATTCTAAGTCCTTACATTATAAAAGAGACAATCAATCCAAGCTGGATAAGGATGATACATCCTTACTGGGTCTCTGGTTGCGCCTGAATCTGAACCTGAGTCGCAGCCTGACCCTGACCCTGAACCTGGCGAAGCAGAGTGGGCGGAACCGGTTCATGCTCCCACCACTGCTGTTTGAAGAACGCCTCATCAAACCGCGATTCAACAGCCGGACGTATCCTCCGTCTTCCGGCAAACGGCACATCGCCATACATATCATAAAAGCACCCCTGGATACTCATATCCTCGGCGAACAAAAGATACCCCAGCTTCTCCGCGCAGTCACGGCCATCCGTCTCCCTACCCCGCCAGCAGAACTTCAGCCGCTTGTCCTTTTGGAAGCGAATGGGTGACTCCTGGAAGAGCATGATGCCGCGGTAGACGCCCATGGCGAACATGCCCCAGACGCAGCTCTCCCTGCGATCGACGAGAAGGCGCATCCTGAGTTTGCTGGCTTTGCGCGACCAGTTGTGTTTCATGGTTTGGCTGGAGACCTCGTAACTGCCGCAGACGACATCGAGGAACTTGTCCTGGTCGTGGCGGGCCCAGGAACGCTGCATTGTGAAGGAGGTTGCGTGGAGTCGGCTGATGGTGCTGGGGGCCGGTTGAGATTGCTGGGTGGGCTCGTCTGGCGGAGGGGAAGTGTGTGGTGTCTCGGCTGGTTGACGGACAGGAGAGGAGGGATGTACTTCCGTAGTGGCCTCGTCCTGGTCCTGGTCTTCCTCATCCTCATCCTGTTCGCAGTCCATCTGCATAGCCTCGTCATTCACGACCTGCGACTCCGGCTCAGGAGACAGCGCAAGCAGAACCAGGCGCTGCGACTCAGGCTCTTTCGCTCTATCATGCTGAAGATAATCCCAGTCCGCGACGAAAGTCTCAACAGGCCACAGGACCATAGGCGGCCCTACTTCCCGCACAGCCTTGAAGTCGCACTTGTCGTCGGGGAAATCCGCGACGGCCATCCCTCTGAAACAGCCGGACATAGGACCCTTCCCACCTATGGTGATCTCACCGATTGTGACACCCTCGTTGTCGTATGCCACCTCGGGCTCGTTTTCGCAGACGCCTCGCCACGCAAAGGAGTATGTGGTCATGGTGTTATCCCGCGGCCCCGGGTCGATGAGCATCAGGCCCTTCCACACGCCAATGTCGAAGCAGCCCCAGAGACGGTCGTAGTCCCAGATTAGCGTCATCCGACATTCTTGGTGGGGGAGTTCGCTGATTTCGAGCCGGTACGTGCCCTGGAAGAGTTGCATCGCAATGACATCTGCTTCCGAGATCGACAGGTTGCACAGGTAGTCGTTGTGTTTGAACGGGATTGGAGAAGGAGGGATTCGCCGGTTGGGATTTGCGTGAGGACCATTGAGGGGGGTGATGGTAGTGAGACGATGGAACATGTCCGGCGAAAACTCCTCATCGGTGAGCGAGTTGCTCTGGTTCGGCTGCTGGAGGTCCATGATCTGTGAAAGGCCAAGTTGGCTATTCTCACTTGTCTGAGTGGCTTCAGAGGATCTCTTCTTCTTCTTGCTCTTCTTCCTCTTTCTGCGTGGTACTTGGGTCTCGGGGAATTGGCTTTCTGGACCTGTTGTTTCGCCTTCCCCATGAAGCTCATGGAGCACGGAGATCTCATGTGAGTCCACAGCGTCGGACATGAGCTCGACCTTTCTTTTGCTCATGGTGAGCGAAATCAATGAACGAGTGAATGAGATAATGAGCGACAATGTAGAAAAGAGCGATTGAATGAAAGAAAGGAGTGACGATGACGAAGAAGACAAAAAGGAGGAAGCGAAACTCTGCTCTGTTTAGGAATAAACAGTTGCTTTTATACCAAAACTGCTTACAGTCAGTAACCTTCCCTGAAGAGTGCCCTTAATCTGAATGCTCCTCCATAATTCAGCGCAAAGGGCAATTGATGTATCACATCTGTTATGATTAGTATCCACCACCTGTCAAACTCCGATGGACACATTCTCGGTGGGCGTCTTGCGGACTTTGCATTCTGCTGAAGACAAGCTGTGATACATGATGAGGCTGCCAGGACAGAAAGAATTGCGAACTTGGAATCTTTAGGTAGTAAATACCTATAACGGACAGTGTGGCAGCTGCATAGTGATAATGAAGAATTACACCATAATAGGAGCTTATTTTGGTTATGAGCAGAAAGAAAAAAAAAAAAAAAGTACCATCACTGACAGAAACAGTGAAGACCATTACAGGAAGGGATCTTGCAGTTACGGATTATGAGAAAAGGAGAGAGCCTTCCAAAAAGCTGCTCTTTCGCCTTGACAGGGCAATGCTGTTTGAAGCAAAAAGCAACGTGCAGATATGAGACACGGGGGAAGAGAATATGACAGGTGGAGTGACTGGTGTCCCCGACTGCAGCTGATCTTCTCAGGTGCAAGAGTAAAGATCGAGGAGTTTTGACAGAAAGTATTCCCCTTGTTTGTTTCAAAACCTCACTTGAAAGTCGCCTTACTAAACAAACCTCCATCTCAATCGTTCTGGTGGTTTTATATATACCTGGCATAGGACAACCATGTCATACCCCAGAAATAACATTTCTCCCGTCCGTGTCGTCTGCATGAAAAACCTAGTCTACAGGCTAGATCCCCGTAACAAACCTCTCAAGGAACGTGGCTTGATAATAAGAGTACCTATCAACTAAACCTACCACACATCGCCTCTTCAGCCGTTACCACGGCACCTCCTTGCCATCATACTGATTCAATCCCTCGTTCTCCTCCCACCCCGGCACATGAATATTCAGAGCCTTTCCATTCTGAGACGGAGTTGCCTTTTGCACGATATCGAGGACAGCCTTTGCCCCGGTCGCAGGGGGAAGATCGGCTCGCGACCCGCCCATTTCTGTTTGGAGCCACTGTATTCCGAGGGATCAGCATCTTCCATTTACAAAAGACAAAAGGACGGTAAGTAAAGGGAGAGAACTCACACCAGGACTCACAGCGAGAAAGGTGAATCCCTCGCTTCCGTAATCCTGCGCGTACTGCACCGTCAACATATTCAATGCTGCTTTGGTGATTTTGTACGCTGGTGTTGGCGAGCCTTTGTAAACTGGCGCGAGGGTCAGTGAGCCAAGCGTTGTCGATCTATCAACGTTAGAGAGGAATTAGAGGCAAGAGAGAAGAGCGCAGCACACATATTAACAACGAGTTTCCTCCGACCCTCGCGGAGAAGAGGGAGAAATGACCGGGTGGCATTATGGGTCCCAGTGACGTTCGTATGGAACGTTTCAGTCAGATCATCCCTGCCATTCAGTCAGAACTGCCTCGATAGGTGCGGCGAAGCGGGAGGACATGCATATTCGCGATTCCACCCTTTGTATGCGGCATCACGCCCGCATTATTAATGAGTACATCCAGCCCTTTTCCCTGCAGTTTACCCTGCACTGCGCTGACTGCATCATGCACGCTTTCTGCGTCGGTAACATCGCATTTGACCCACTTGATCCGGTCGGATTGTTGGCTGAGTTCCTGGAGGCTTGGATGTTCTGAGCGGGATGTTGCGAAAATGGTTCCTACGGATGTACTGGGGAGGTTGGCGAGATGGCGCACCAGGGCGAGGCCTAGGCCGCGGGAGGCGCCGGTTATGAGGTATGTTGACATTATTTGTTAAGGGAGATACTAATGATTTGGTGGATGCTTGGACTTTGAGTGAAGCGGATTACTTATAATGATCAGCTAGAACGATTATTAATGTTCAACATTCCACTACTCCATGGTGGACGGAATTTACGGAGATAGCAGTTAAACGTCCGCAAGTATTGACTCAGGGCGGTATGAAAGTAATTACCAAGCATGATTCTAATCATCACGGTTCTCGCTATATACATCCATCTCGATATCATGTTTCAGCCTTGGGCTGTTCGGTAGAACAATCCCTAACCTCTCTATCATCCGGCCGAGACTTCTCTCTGACCATCATAAACACAATCCACGACGCCCATATCACCAACGCAATCGAACACCCAATCATCGCCCACATTCCCCGTGTAAACCGTGGCGCCAGGTTCGCCGAGTAGAATATGATGCTCCACCACGCATTGACCGCATTATTCCCCATATTCATACTCGCAAGGACCACAGACCGATGCCGCGCATCCTGCGATCGCATCGCATCGTTGCACCACGCAAAGAATGTAGCTTGGCAGGCATACACGGCACCGGCCCAGTAATACGCCCCGAACACGGTCGGGGTTGAGTCAAACCTCGTCAGAATGAGGACGGAGGTCACGACCCCGGTAATGCCAATGAAATAGGCAACCAAGTACCGTTTGCCGTGCAGGATATCTGTCAATGTAGCCCAGAAGAGGGTTGAGACGATCCCGACGGCCGGAACGCCAGTTGGATAGTTGTTCAGCTGTGCCACAGTGTATTTGATCGTAGGATGGGATTTCATGTACAGTGCCAGAAGCGAGTTAGACGAGAAGGACTCAGTCTCGCCGGCGATCACCCAGAGGATGACAAACGCCCACCAGTACCACGTGGTAAACAAGTGTTTGATAAAAGCCCGATTCAAGGGAGCACGCTCGGCATTAGTCACAGGCAATCTGGAAATGGCCAAGGCTCGTTCCGACTCGCTGAGATATGGCGCGAGAGTGGTGGACGGCGTGTCAGGGAAGAGAAGAAGGCCATAGATGGCAATGGGAAGGGTGATCAGCCCATCAATCTATCACAATTAGTAGTGGATCAACTTGGAAGAGTGAAATAATCCTACAATGAACAACCACCGCCATCCTGAAAGTCCTCTGACCCCGTCCAGCGACGAATGGATACGGGTCTGGATGAAACCGCCAAACATCGTCCCTGCCAGACCAGATGCCGTAAAGATGCCGCTACGTTTGCCCAGCTCCTCCTCCGTATACCAGGATCCAAGGATATAGTGCGTCCCTACAAACGTGCTTGACTCGGCTAGTCCGAGAAAAAAGCGGATGGCCATGATCCCCTGTGGACTGTGCACCGCGGCCGTAATCATAGTCAGCCCGCCCCACAGGAGGATCATGGCGGGGAAGAAGATGCGTGGGCGAAAGTACGTCAGAGCCAGGTTGCTGGGGACCTGGCCGAGGATGTAGCCCACGGTAAAGATGGTGTTGATGACATTGAGCTGGTTGCCATGAAAGGCGAGCTCTTCCTTCATGCCTGATACGTACGCATTACTGAGGTTTGAGCGATCGAGGTAGTTGAAGAAATAGGTGATACAGCAGAACGTGAGGATGAAGAAATCAATCTTGAACCGGAGTTTGCTTTCTGCGTCGCGAAACGCAGGAACGAACCGCATCATGCTGGACGGGATGCATGATGAGGAGGAGAGGATGGTCATCTCCTGCTGAGATGAGATTCCTTACCCCTCTTGATGCTCGGACTCGACAACAACGTAAAGTTAATTGATCGGCCTCATGCCGATAGCAAAGAACGGTTTTGATTCGACAAACTTTGTCGCTTGCCAAGGCATGTCGCGTGACTTTGCCACATAAATGCCTGAAGCTTAAGGTGTCTGCGGGGAATGCAGAACAACATTAGAAACACGGGGGTACAATCTTTGAAGTTTATTAGACAAGTATCACGCTTATACTCCCTAATGATATTGCTAGATGCAATATCCAAGTCTTTTAAATAAGCTCAGACCCTGCTGAGACCAGGAGTGACCCGCCGATCATTACGACATGCCACTCAAGGGCCAAGATCTTGGCACAGCAGAGCACTGCCACCTCCCAGATAAAAATTTGAACAACCCTTGATTCCATTCCAACTGCCTCAATTAAACAACAGTATGGCTCTGGGGCTACCCTGCTTACAAAGTTCAATGCGACGTCCAATGCTGTCCGCTCTTTCTCTGTCTTTGAACGATGGAGCTCTTCTCCGGCCTTAGACGGCTCCTGAGCCGGAGGACGCGCACAGGGAGCCGAGGGTTGTTAACCGAGAAGGAAAAGGTATTTGAGGGTCAGCCTCAAGATGCAGAGAAGTTGTACAGGCGTGATTTCCTGGAAGACTATTCCGATACCGAAACAGCCCAGTTCAGCTTCTTCACGACCAAGCTGGACTCGGTGATTCAAGCATCCAGCATCAACTCTTTGGCGTTGATCTATGGACCTCTCCACGCGTTACTTGATAGTGGAGAGCATGATGGCATCTGGTGGCTTGACGTCACGGATCCCTCAGATGGGGATATTGAGCTTCTTTCCCGATTGTTTGACATTCATCCGTTGACGACGGAGGATATCAAGATCCGCGAGACCCGGGAAAAGATCGAACTCTTTGGCCCGTATTATTTCCTCTCACTGCGGCCGCCCCAGCAGGCGGAAGACGCCCCTGGCTCGCGCACATCAAGATGCAATGTCTATGCTATTATATTCCGAGAGGGGGTTCTCAGCTTCACCTTCGGCAACAGTCCTCATACCAGTCATGTCCGAAATCGGATCAAGGACCATCAAAGCCATCTCTTTTTAACAAGTGACTGGATATCTTACGCTTTGATGTATGTCACCTTCCCTGCTATATGGAATAATCCTTACTGACAAATGCAGCGACGACATCGTCGACGGTTTCGCTCCACTCATCCACCGAGTAGAAGCCAGCGTGGAGACGATGGAAGACAGCGTCTCCATCACCCGACCAGATGACATCGGACTTGCACTGAAGCAGATCTACACGTCGCGCAGACAAGTCCTTCAGATCCGGCAACTCCTCAACGACAAAACCGACGTCATCCGGTGTTTTGCTCGACACTGCGAGGCCCTGGGTTCCACGAGCGAAGTGGTCTCCTACCTCAGCGATATCCAGGACCACGTCTTGACCATGGTTTCCAACCTGGCACACTCGGAACAGAGGCTGTCCCGGTCACAGGATAAGTACCTGAGTCAGCTGTCGTTTGACTCGACCCGGATGCGCAATCAGATCGTGGCTACGCTTAGCCGGCTGACGGTGATTGCGTCATGTATCGTGCCTATGCAGATCATTACCGGTTTATTCGGCATGAATGTCACGGTACCAGGCAAGAATAGCGAGGGGCTAGGTTGGTGGTTTGGGATTTTGGGTGTTATTCTAGCGTTGATCGTTTTGTCTTTGGCGATTGCGCGACGCAGTCGGTTTCTTTGAAGCTCAAATCCTGTCATCCTAGCCGAGATGACCAGCTAGAACATCGAAGTTACTCCGTACAAGCCTTCGATATCCGTTCCGACCCACATAGTTAGTCGACGATCAGTATGTCAGCACTGCCGGATTTATCGGAATTACCAGTAAATCGGCCGTTATCCCCTCGTAGACCGATCAACGTATATCTATAAAACCTGCTTTGCTCCTGTACATAAAGTCCATATCATCACAAGATTCCATCCGTAACCCAGGCGTAAGTCAAGTCAAACTGCAACATGGACTTCATCAGTACCCACCACCACGATACCTACCCCTTCATCGCCCAGTCCACGCACCACAACCACAAAGTCCTCATCACCGGCGCCTCCCGCGGCATCGGCCTTGCAACCGCGCACTCTTTCGCTCGAGCCGGCGCCTCATCCATCGCCATCGCCGCCCGAGGGCCCCTTGACGCCGTGGAGTCCGCCCTCCTCTCCACCGCCAAAGAAGCAGGCCACCCGCCGCCAACAATCCTCAAACTAGCCCTTGACGTCGCAGACGAGGCCAACGTAGCCGCTGCTGCTGCCGAAGTCGCCTCTAAATTCGGACACCTCGATATCCTGATTAACAATGCCGGGACGTCGGAGAGGTGGGTCCCCATCGCGGAAAGCGACCCGGCGGACTGGTGGGGATGCTGGGAGGTAAACGTCAAGGGCGTGTATCTGGTCATGCGGGAGTTCATCCCGCTTCTGCGGAAGGGGACTGAGAAGACGATTGTGAATGTGAGCTCGATCGGGGCGCTGCTTGTGCGGCCGGGGGCGTCAGCGTATCAGACGGGGAAGTTTGCTCTGCTGCGGTTGACGGAGTTCGTGATGACTGAGTATGGCGGTGAGGGGATGTTGGCGTATGCGATTCATCCTGGTGGTGTGCCGACGGAGCTGGCGATGGGGATCAAGGCGTTGCAGGGGTTTCTCACGGACACGGCGGAGCTGGCGGGGGATGCGATGAGTTGGTTGACGCAAGAGAGGAGGGAGTGGTTGGGTGGGAGGTATGTGAGTGTTACGTGGGATATGGAGGAGTTGTTGCAGAAGAGGGAAGAGATTGTCCGGGAGGATAAATTGAAGATGCGGTTGACTGTGTAGGATTATGATGTGGAGGTGCTGTCGGCGGTAGGGCAGTTGTCAGCTTCGCTGATGGAATAGTGCAGCAATGGGGAGTATCCCGCTGCTTCTTTTTATGGATGCAGCATGGCTAACTGTGCTAACTGCTTGCTATCAAGAAAGGCTCTAGCAGGGATAACGCTGGGGCAGGACGTGAGTGAATTGTTGCCAGGGCTTATATCATCCTTGGAGGACGGAAAGCCGACATTGCATTGAGCAGTAAGAACTACTTAGATGAGTCTATCGGGTATCAATGATTTACATCTCATAGACAAGGATCTATGACAGGATGGGCTAGAAGTGGCGCCTGCAGGCTGATTCCTTGCTACCGTTGTGAAACAGCCGCAACGTACTCCATGAGGCTTGGGGCCGTTGTAGGACCTGCCTTCCATGTGTGCGTCTGCAACCCGGGTGTCGTTTCTGGTGTAGCACGGCTGTAACGCTCAACGCCCTGCACATCGTAGGTTTGAACAACCAGCTCATCCCGCGATAGGATGACCTTCATCTTCTTCTGTTTTCCATCAGTTGAAACGGCCAGCAACTCCCCATGGTGAGGATACGTTGGCTCCCAGGAGACGGACTTGGCTTCGGTCTTTGAAATGCTCGAAGCTGGTGAGGTCTGTGATTCAATCGCCGCGACAATATCTAGCATTATAAAATGCGTAATGATCGTCGCCGCCTGATCCTGCAGCCCAATGCGGTGCGGCGGATGGACGTCTGGGTAGTGAGGCAGGTTGAGTGAGATCTCGAAATGAGTCCCAAAAGGTGGTACCGACAGGTTGGTGCGTGTCTTTACTTTGAATGAGCTCTGCGGTGTGAGCAAATCCGCCGAGAATGTGGACTCCAGTGGCAGAAGAAACTGTCTGATCAGACCCTCCACCTTCGGGACCGAGCGATCAATGTTGAAAAGGTTCACCGATGAATAAGGGGTCGCCGTGAAGCTACAACTGAGGCCTGCTGATTGAAGTACTCCATATACATCCTTCATAAAGGTCTCTAGCCACCGCACATGGAAGCTGTGCTGTAAGTATGCCATTACCGGTCGGAGCAGGTGGTATTCTGGAATGTGACGTCGCTTCGGAGACAATGGAGGAGGCGGCTGTGTTCTTCGACGTAGGTTTTGACGATGAGCATAGCACAGCAGTATGCGGATTGAGTGGGCAAGTGCGTCGGCAAGCACGTTGTGTTCTTCCGATTTCGTCTCCTCGCCATCTACATATGCCTCTTGGTCGGGGTCCACCAGGTCCAGTAGAATGTCTTGCTCTTCGGACACGGGGAATTGAACCAAGTTCTGGCGTGTCGTCACACCTTGGCTACCCATTATCCTCGCCTCTCGGAACAGTTCGTGGAATAGCTCCTCCTCATACAGAGTATCTCGCGCCTGCAGGATGCGGCCTTCGATTGAATCTGGGTCCTGGGCGGCCGACCGGTATGGCCTGGAACAGCCAGTGATGGTGCCGTGGCCCTTGACACGTACGCGCACTGTCTTTGCCTTCGCCGGCACCAATCCTTTGTCCAGTATGAGTGCGCCGTCTTCGGATCTTCGTAGAGCTGCGAGGCCTCGGTCGCGGAATATCGGGGTGGCTGCAAAGGAGAAGTCAGAACCCATTTCAGCGTTACTTGTTTGCTAACTCACCTTCAAGGAACCCATATTGCACACCCAAGGTTTGACCCTGACGGGGCAGCCTGCACAGTTTCCAGCCCTTGTCCTTGACCGCCAACACTTCATGCCAATATCTCGTCTCGGACGCGACTTCATTTTCCAATCTTGAAGCGGACTTCAACAACTTATCGGCAGCAGCATTGAAGCTCTGCAGCCTCCATCCACGCGATACGCTCTTTGTGTCTTTAACCACGGCTTCGGACTTTGGCGGAGGGCTGATGATTTCTGAATTGAGTGAACCGAGCGGTGCAACTTGCTTCAGATAAGCAGACATAGAAGTTTCGGCCTGTCGTGGGGTGTGCTTGGAGAGGAGCAGTGAAATAAAATCGAGAGCAAACATCGCTTCCATATGTGCCTGCCTATAGGACCTCAGTACGGACCAATCGGCCATATCACTGTAATGGTTGCCTTACATCGCAAACTGAATGATCTCTGCTCGTCGTTTGTATAATTGATCCAAGCGCTCTGTTGTATCCAGCTCCGCACCTGCTCCCTCACCCTCCTCCTCTTCAGTCGTGTATTCCTTGCTCTTCTCCTCCTCGATCTTCGCGCGTAGACTCTCCTCACTCACATCGCGGAACGACCCCCACTGAGCATTAATCTGGGCGATCTCGAGAGGCAACGGATCGGGACGGTCGCGCTTTTCGATCAGGGGGCGCAAGGGAAGAGTAAATTTATCGTCTGCCATGGTGACGGTTAGAGACGCGCCCTACGTCAACGAATTGTGAGCAGCGCTGAGGGAGTTCTTGAGGCTGGAAATGAAAGACGGAAGCAACGCCGAGGCACGTGACAACCGGAGCTCAGACAACATCAAATCACCAACTCACTCTGCAGTGACCAATCAACCATGATTTATGCCAATAGCAGGTGACAATCAATGAATCTGAAATTACTGCTTTCCGATGCGAATCAGTCAAGCAAAAGCTATCTAAGCAATTGCCTTTTGTACAATGCCTGTTCTTTGAGCACATTAAAGAGGTACACACCGGCGTATATATATATTTCACCACGCGTCCAAAAGAGAGCACTTGGTAGAAGCAATTGCATACTTTTCAGGGATAAACTGGCCGTCTTATGAGCCTAAGAACGTTGCCATCAACTGTATCATATCCTTCTCATCATCAAACTAACTCTAACAACTCAATTGAGATGGTATTAAGATCAACAGTTGAGCATTGCCCTGAAATGACGTGCATCGTATCAACTTCTGCTAGGTACCTCTCTACGGAGATAGTCCGTTGTCAATTGATTGGTTGCCATGGCGTCACTAGCCAAGCACGTGAAAGACTAGCCCTGCCCTAGTATTTTCACGTGACTTCAATGGCGCTAGTCTGAAAGAAGGCAGGTGACGTCGACAATGGAGCGGGAGTCCTGTGGTGACGCAGGGATGGAAATCTTCTACTGCAGGATTCTCAAAAGAGGGGTTGTCGGCTGTTGATCATCCATAAGTTTCTATCACTGTCTTCCTTCATTGGAGATTGTTAGATCTGTTTTCTCATCGCAAGCTCTCGGAGCTCATTATCAGCTAACTGGTGAATCCATTGACCCCTCGTGTCTGTGACGTACCCTTTCCCACTCCCGCTTTCACTCACCGGAAATCTTTCACCCCACCGTCACAACAACTTATCTACAGTTTCGGTCGCAACGACAGCTGTCTCCCCTGGAGGTTCACTTTCCGGTCTAGCGATTGATCTCTACAACACTCCTTTGAGGATCAGTCTACGGTCGTCAACAGGATGAGCTCAACACAAGCACCCGTCGAGCCGCCCAAGAGACGCCGCATTGGTGTCCTCACCTCGGGTGGTGATGCCCCCGGTATGAACGGAGCCGTGCGGGCCGTCGTCCGTATGGCCATTTACTCCGACTGCGAAGCGTATGCCGTGTTTGAAGGTTATGAGGGCTTGGTTCATGGTGGTCATATGATTCGTCAGCTGCACTGGGAAGATGTTCGTGGCTGGCTCTCCAAGGGTGGTACGCTGATCGGATCTGCTCGGAGCATGGCTTTCCGCGAACGCGCTGGACGTCTCAAGGCTGCTAAGAACATGGTGCTCCGCGGTATCGATGCTCTCGTTGTCTGCGGTGGTGATGGAAGTTTGACCGGTGCCGACGTCTTCCGTTCAGAATGGCCCGGTTTGTTGGAGGAGCTGGTCAAGAATGGTGAATTGACCGAGGAACAGATCAAGCCGTATAAGGTGTTGAACATTGTTGGTTTGGTTGGTTCTATTGACAACGACATGTCCGGCACTGACGCCACGATCGGCTGCTATTCCTCTCTTACACGGATTTGCGATGCCGTCGATGACGTTTTCGATACTGCGTTTTCCCACCAGCGAGGTTTCGTTATCGAGGTTATGGGACGACACTGCGGTTGGTTGGCTTTGATGTCCGCAATTAGCACGGGCGCGGACTGGTTGTTCATTCCGGAGATGCCTCCTCGTGACGGGTGGGAGGATGACATGTGCTCTATCATCACCAAGGTGAGTCGCAAATATCTCGTTACCAGTCATTAATTAACGGAATCTTCTCTATAGAACCGCAAAGAACGTGGTAAACGTCGTACTATCGTTATCGTCGCCGAAGGTGCTCAGGACCGCAGTCTCAACAAGATTTCCAGCTCCACGATCAAAGACATTCTCACACAGCGCCTCGGGCTGGATACTAGAGTTACCGTGTTGGGACACACTCAGAGAGGAGGAGCAGCATGCGCATATGACCGGTGGCTGTCCACCTTGCAGGGTGTTGAGGCTGTCCGGGCTGTTCTGGATATGAAGCCGGACTCGCCATCGCCAGTCATTACCATTCGTGAGAACAAGATCATGCGGACACCGCTGATGGACGCAGTGCAAGAAACTAAGCATGTAGCCAAGCTCATTCATGACAAGGACTTTGAGGCAGCGATGAGAATGCGGGATGCCGAATTTAAAGAATACCACTTTGCCTATCGCAACACTGCTACACCTGATCATCCCAAGATGATCCTCCCTGAGGACAAGGTGCGTTACTCTCTCTCAGTCAGCCGGCATGGCTAATTCAAAATAGAGAATGAGAATTGCCATCATCCACGTCGGTGCCCCGGCCGGAGGCATGAACCAAGCCACCCGCGCCGCTGTCGGTTACTGCCTCACTCGTGGACACACTCCCCTTGCGATTCACAACGGTTTCCCCGGCCTTTGCCGTCACCACGATGATAAGCCTGTGAGCTCTGTTCGTGAAGTCAAGTGGCTAGAGTCCGATTCCTGGGTTAACGAGGGTGGATCGGATATTGGAACAAACCGTAGCCTGCCGTCCGAGGATTTCGAGACCACTGCAAGGTGCTTCGAGAAGTACAAGTTTGACGCACTGTTCGTGGTTGGTGGTTTCGAAGCCTTCACAGCAGTCAGCCAGCTCCGCCAGGCCCGCGATAAATATCCCGCTTTCAAGATCCCCATGGTTGTCTTACCCGCTACGATTTCGAACAATGTGCCTGGAACCGAGTACTCGCTGGGCAGCGACACCTGTCTCAACACTTTGATTGATTTCTGCGACGCCATCCGCCAGTCGGCGTCGTCCTCTCGTCGTCGTGTCTTCGTCATTGAGACACAAGGTGGTAAGTCGGGCTACATCGCCACTACCGCTGGTCTCGCCGTCGGTGCTACAGCCGTGTACATTCCCGAGGAGGGCATTGACATCAAGATGCTCTCCAACGACATCGACTTCCTGCGCGAGAACTTTGCTCGGGACAAGGGAGCCAACCGTGCCGGAAAGCTCATCCTGCGCAACGAATGTGCCTCCAGCACTTATACCACACAGGTCATCGCCGACATCTTCAAGGAGGAGGCCAAGGGTCGGTTCGAGTCCCGCTCGGCCGTCCCTGGCCACTTCCAGCAAGGAGGCAAACCATCGCCGATGGACCGTATCCGCGCGCTCCGGATGGCGGTCAAGTGTATGCTGCATCTCGAAAACTACGCCGGCAAGTCGCGCGACGAGATTGCGGCGGACCCGATGTCGGCGGCGGTCATCGGTATCAAGGGCTCGCAGGTGTTGTTCTCCGCCATGGGCGGCGCGGACGGTCTGGAAGCAACGGAGACGGATTGGGCACGCCGGCGTCCCAAGACGGAGTTCTGGCTGGAGCTTCAGAACTATGTCAACATCTTGTCTGGCCGTGCTGCTGCGGGAACACCCATGTGGTCATGCTATGAGTGTAAGCTCCGACTATGATCGTATTTGCATTACAATACTGACTGTTACAGCCAATGTTACAGCCATTCAACCTTCGGCGGCCACTTCACCTTAGAGCGACCGTGCAATACCGGGGATACGATTGATGACGGGAAGCTGACGCGACCCTTGAATGATATTTCGGAAAATAGCTGATGCCCTGGACTTGGACATTGGGGTAGAATTATGATTTTGCATCTGGAGTTGAGAATACACGATGGCTACGTGGTCTGGGCAAATATATTGAATTGAATCTAGGATTTCATAGTCAATGAATGATGGTATCATGCCATATGCCATTCCAGTAAACCGAATATAACCTGTAATTGTATCCATAATCAAGAATGATTCTTATCCGTCTTCTGCAACTCCTCCAGTTCATCGAGCAGCTGTACCGTTTCCGAAGGACTGGCAATCCAGGCAGTCGTAGACGCCAAACGAGCCTAGAAACACGGTCACGTCAATTTCACTTCACCTTAAAGATGGAGGGGACGACTCACCTTGAAATCATTCGCACCAGCCGAGAGAAACTGATCGCCAACATGGAGGGTGCGCGACCGTTCGATCCCCCCGAAATACCGCTGACAAGCGCGCACACCCCAGGACTTGTCGCCGATATCGACGAAGACGTCATTCCCGCCTGTCTCAGCCATTAGCTACATCCCAGAAAAAAACAAGTTTGGGGTCCTTGGGGGATGGGGGACGGGTGATACCGTTAAACGCGCAAAAAGGCAGCCTGGTGCCGACGACAGACCGCTCAACCGTATTCTGCACGACGAGGACAGTCTCCTCGAGCTGCTCGCGGTGGATCTTGCTCCGGTCATGGGGGTAGACGCCGACGGCGCGGTCCTTGCGGAGGACAGCGACAGGGAGATTGAGGTTTGCGGCGCAAGCGCGCAGCGAGGACTCAGCGATATCAAGCAGCTGGGTGATATCCTCCTGCTTCCAGGACTTCATTTCGTCGAGGAGCCACTCGGAGCGGCGCACGTAGGAGAGGCGGTGCGGGGAAGCGGAGTCGAAGCGGAAGAGGAAGTTGCTCTCGCCGCCCATGACGACCAGGCCGTCTTTCTGGGCGGGGGTGAGGGAGGGGGAGTCGTGGACGGCGTCGAGCAGGCCCTTGAGGCGTTCGTAGTACTTTGCGCCCTCGGTGTAGCCTGCGGCGGTGACGATGCCGATGCGCACGCCCTGGTGCAGGAGGCGGATGATGCGCGGGATGGCGGGGTTGTCCGGGGTGAGGCAGGCGCCGTCGTCGTAGAGGGTGACGTCTCCGTCGAAGGTGACGAGGTCGAGGCCGGGCCCGCGGACGAGGCCGAGGAGCTGGGCGGTGTTGAGAATGAGGCGGATGTCGTTGAAGGAAGGGGCGACGAAGCGGCGGCGGCTGATCATGCGTTTGGCGTCTTGGTATTTGAAGGCGTCTTCGAGCGGGAGCCGGCTGAAGAAGGAGCCCGCGGTCGGGACGAGCAGTTTCAGTTTGGACTTGCCGGGCGCGGCGTCGCGTTCATGGTCGACTGTTTGGGTTAGTTGCGACTAGGGACAGAAGGAATGAGGCTTACTGTGGTCGTCGATGAGCTTCTCGACATCCCGGAAGATCTCCGCGTAGCGTTGATGGGTGTCGGCCGCCACGGCCACCAGATTCTCGCTGTGTTCCTGGTAGACAGCGGTGGGCTGCGAGTGCAGCACAAAGGGGACCGCCAGAAGACCCTACTAAATGAGCGTACTGCTGTGATTATTGAGTGGTGTACTCACTTTGATCCATTCAATCTGGAATATGTTAGTTGCGCCTTGAACGGCACGAAGGAAAACTTACCAGCTGGTCTCGACGATGCGACTATCGGAGTGAGTCAGCCAAGCATAACGTCAATGGCTGACAGCATACCTTGAGAGCATCTATCAGTTGGTTAGCATCAGTCTCCTAATTGTATTTAAAGAGACATACATTCAACGCGATACCGAGTGGTCATTGTGAGTGGTGTTGTTAGCCAGGGGGTGAGGAGGGGAGGATGAGGAGGATGAGGAGTGCGAGATGGTTCCCCGCTCGGTGAGTTGGAGAAGTGTTTGCCAAGACACGGTGAGACATTCCAGTGAGGTTGTAGCAAACTCGACTCCCATCGATGATTGATTTGATTGGATTAATCTTGGTTATTTTGAGTGCTTATTGGCATCGAATCTTCCGTCTAGACTCAGGGTCATGGTGACTCATTCTGTACCATGGCTTATTGATCACTTATTGGCTCGAGAGCCGATCTTATCGCGAATAAGCCTCGCTGTGACCAATCCAGGGTGGCTTAGACAGACCAGCAGGGATTATACGATCTAGACAAGGAAATCTGGAGTCATCAGAAAATATGCAAGCTTGAGCAAATCGAGTGCCCGCATCTCGTATGGCTCATCGGCCTGGGATTGACACCTCGTGTTTACGCAAGACATTGGAGCCTGAGGCATATCCCAGCCTATCACCATCGCCTGAGAATAATTCAAGCCAGTCATCGACCTCGACGAGATTAAAGTTACATTCTCGTGTCGAGTCATACTTGGATACTATTCCAGCGATGATGACGATGATGACGATGATGACGATGATGACGATGATGACGATGCTATTGATGCCTAGAGTCATTCATCCAGTCTCTTTGTCATGCCAATATAAACCGCCCAAGTCATACACGGAAATGCCTATCCAACAGAATCAAGCACACAAATCTCAGTCGTCACCCGGGTGAAGGTGAACATGAACATGAACATGAATTTCCTCAGCGAAGGCAACAATCCATCAATATCAGATCCACCACCGCCATACACCCCAGCTGCATCACCCACTATGCCAGAATCACAACCAGAACCAGACACCAAACAACTTCCACCCTCTTCCCCCCCATCAGAACACCCAAGTTCAAGTTCCACCCTATCACCAAACCGCGGGATCCAAATCCCCTCGAAACATGACTACTTCACCTCCGGCTTCGCGTACCCTCCCTTCCTAGCACAATACGACATCTCCCCGCACCACTGGACCCAATTCACCCAGGACCTCAACGAGGAGGTGAAGCTCTCCCCGCGACAATGGGCGACCACAGTCGCCAAGGGCGTCGGCGTCCTCGCGCTTGGCGGGGTGATGGCCGGCGTGCTGGGTGCGATCCCTGCGGTCCTGGTGGCGCGCAAGGCGAGACGGAACCGCGAGGAGATGAATTTGATTATTGCGGCTTCGGAGAGGCCAGCGGATATAGATGCAGATTCGGGGTCCAGGCTGTCGAGGAAGGTTGAGCGGTGGAACAAGACTCTTTTTCGGCCGAGGGGGATTGTGGTTCGGGTTGATCTCCCGTGGGAGGAGCTGGATGAGATGCAGGAGATGGAGGTGCTTCCTGCAGGGAGATACGCCAAGAGAGATGAGCAGGCTTTGAGGGAGGATGCGTCGCGAAAGGCGCGGATTGTGATTATTCCAGTAGATACAGATTCAGCGTCAAATTCGTGAATTAAAATGCAAGAATAAATAAATTCATTAACATGCGTTCCACATCAATATGGTTCAGATATGTTTGACGGCTACAAAGCTACACCCTCGTTGACTTGTCCACCGTCTCCTGGTGCGCCGCAGTCCCGTGCATCTCCTCCGCCATCTGCATCTTCTCCGACACCACCTGATCCCGCTCCTCGGCGTCCTTGTTTCCGTATAATCCGATCTTGTACCATGGCAGCTCGAACAGGCGATCCATGCTCTCGAGCGACCGCCCGGCTGTCTCAGGCACACTGAGGAACACCCACACACCACCGAGGATGGTCACCGCCGCGAAGCACCAGAACGTGCCCTTGGGGGTGATGCCGCCGTGGTCCGTGGACAGCAGCATGTTCGGGACGGCGCGTGAGTTGCCGTACTGGTTGGCAAAGTGCAGCGTCATGGCGATGGAGGTCGCCAGGGCACGGATGCGCAGCGGGAAGAGCTCCGCGGTGAGCAGGTACTGCATCGAGTTCCAGCCGAGCGCCCAGCCGAACCCGGAGACATAAATCATGGCGATGGCGCCGCGGCTGACGCCCCGCTTTGCCTCCGGCAGGACGAAGTCATCGACGATGCCCATCTCTGGGACGTCGGTTAGGAAGGAGGCAACATAGATCATGGCGATGGCCTGCAGGGTGATACCGATGAGCAGGGCGCGTTTGCGGCCGATCACGTCAACCAGGAACAGGGCGCACGTGATGGCTGCGACGAGCTTGACGATACCGAACACACCGGTCACGAGGAGGCTCTCGTTGGAGCCGGTGATACCAAGCAGCTTGAAGAGATCTGGGGCGTAGAGGGTGATGGAGCCGGCACCGGACCACTGCGAGAGGATCTGGGACATGACGGTCAGGTAGATGCGGTACAGGTTCTTCGGGACGCAAAAGGTCTCCTTGATGACGCCGAGCCAGCCAGCGCCCATGGTCGCCTCGAGTTCGGCCTGGTGGGACTGCTCGATGGCCGTGATCTCCTGCACGACGTATTCGTGGTCTTCAGGGAGGTGTCGCACGCGCGCCAGATTGCGGACTGCGTGTTCGTATTTGCCCTTTTTGATCAGGAAGCGAGGGGACTCGTATTGCAGGAAGGAGAGGAGGAAGATCAGGCCGGCGAAGATGATGTGCAGACTGGTTGGCACTTCCTACGGGATTGTCAGCTGCGATTCGTTCTCAGGGCAGTTGTCGGCGCACTCACCCATCGCTTGTGTGTGTTGTCTCCGAGGTTGACCTGGCAGCCGTAATTGGTGAAATAGGCCAGGACGATACCAAGATACACGAAACCAGTAAACACACAGGTGCAGAGACCTCGGATAGACGCGGGAGCCTAGCCACGACTGTCAGCTTGCATTAGACCGTGTGCGACGGTATACTCACAATCTCAGCAAGATACACCGGGCCCACCACGACAGTTTGTCCAACACCCAATCCTGCAATGAAGCGACCGGCATAGATGGCTGAAAGGTTTCCATTTGCGCCCAAGAAGATACCAATACCAAGAATCCACAGAAGACACAGCTGACGAGTAGCCCAGATACGACCGATGCGGTCACAAACGACGAACGCGCTGCTCTGGTTAGGAAGCTGCCAACCAATACCAAATCTAGAACTTACAAGAGAGCACCACCGACAGAACCGATCTGCACCATCGCCGACACATTCGCCTTGATGTTCGTCTTTTCGACCTCGCTGTACTGGCTGTAGTGGATCGTCCGCTGGAAATCCTTCGAGTTGAAAGCGCCCGAGATCAACCCCTCATCGACACCACGGGCAGCGCCCATAAGGCCGAATGAGAGAACCGCGAACCATAGCCTCCAGTTGAAGACTTCTTTGGGTTCGCTAAGGTTTTTCAACCGGAAGATGTTGACGGGTTTCTTTGGACCGCCTGCCATCGTCTCGTCCTTGCGCTCAGAATACTAAGGGAGAGAAGAGCAGAGAAAAGTTGAGGGGTGTGGATGGACAAACAGGGATGGACAGACGATCCCTCCCCAGCTTTATACCCCATGCATGAACACTGCGGAGAAAACGCGGAGTAGAAGCGTGGGGTCGAAATCTCCGAGATCAGGACCAGGAAACTAACTTTGGTCGCATCGCATACCCGACACGAAGATATCCCGGAGATGCATGCATTTGTCCTTGCGGCTGGGACTCAGTGTCCGTGGCATTTTGGATTCATTGGTTGAGAAACGGAGGGTGACCAAGTGGCCCATATGGGGGTGCCAAGGAAGCGTGGTTTGTGCCTGTGCTCTGGCCCACCCAAGGTTAACTTAAGAAGTCTGGAGTCGAGAGCTTGGGAGCTCTTGACTGCGCCAAAAGCCTTGTCCCACTCTCAGCATGAAGTCTATCCTCTGTTCATGTATGATGTGAGTGGTTTGGATAAGATGAGATGTACTCAATAACTCACACATTCATCATATTCGTTCTCCTTATCTCAGTCACTTTGCGAAACAATTCAACGAACAAGTAAGTCCATGCGGCCGCTTTTGGTCTCATCTCCGCATAATAAAGGCTCGGTCAAGTTCCGAAACACGACCGACTGCTTGGCGTTGGAAATGCCTCATAGGATCGGGATACTTTTAACTCTAGATTCACTCTGGACTCGGACCCGACTCGAGAGTTCCGTTTCTCGGAAGTTCTAATGGTCATGTTTGATTCGCCAGTCGCACAAGTACACGGCGAACTATTGTCAGTATGAGCAGCACATCGGGCAACCTAGGAAAGCATTCGCCGGCTCTCATATCATCCTCTGCCATCAGCAGTAGCCCCGCCGTACCGAGTCTCTGCGTCTCATTACCCTACTTCATAGAATGGACTGCGAGAAAGGCCTATTCGGTCCTTGTCCGAAGCGGCAACGTCGTGGATGACCGCGTGATTAGCGCATCGAACTTGAGCAGTCATTCCACCGACGATCGCAAGAAAGCATGGTTCGGCGTGTGCCTAGCCTGATTGAGCCGTCGGCAACTCGGCGTTCTCCGAAGATTAGCCATAAGAATTGTGAGTCGTTGAGATTATTACTGGATAGTGGATGGTGCCTGCGACAAGCTGGGGTCTGGGGTTGAAGGTCCACCCAAATGAGTGTCTCTCTGCGGGGATGCAATGGGACGGGAAAATGACAAACCACCGACTCTCATTGGTTTGTCCCACGCTCCATGTGGACAGGATGGCTTCCAACCCATGGGAATTCGGTAGTAGTAATGTGGTTGACTAAGGGATATAATAGGTCTTGATAAATATTCATATTGATAATTCTTATATAACCCATTGCTATCTCATAATACCACAAGGATGTCATTATTCGGTTGAGACACCGTTGACCAAGCAAGGTCACGAGGCAAGATATAAGCACAGACATCTTATTAGTCACGCCAGCGGAAAGCAGGATTGCGCCAGTCGAGATCCTGGATCTGCAACAGGGACAGACCAGCCAGCGCCTGGTCAACGTCAACCTTCTCGCGTCTCTTATTATCCCACCGCATCCACCCCCAGAGCAATGCTCCGAGAATCATCGTCATGGACGAGGTGGCCAGGTTGAGACCGTTGCCAATATGATAATTAGGAGCGTCAAAAGGCAAAAACGACCATGTCGATATCAAGCCACCAACGTTACCCATCATCACCGTCGTTCCGATGGCCGATGACCGTGCAGTGTCAGACACCACGTTGTTCGATGAATTCGCATTGCACAGAGCGCCAAAGGCGAACGCACCACTAGCAATCAAAAATGTCGCGCCGTAGCGGACCATGGCGTCAGTGCTGGCCAGGAACATGATGTACCCCGCCATCATCAGAGGGGGCCCAATCACGAAGAAGACCATGCGCCGGTCAAATCGCCAGCTGAGAAAAGGGAACAACACAGTGAAGAACGCTCCGACAACGTATGGAGGAACAGTGTGCAGCTGCTGGGACACCACGGTGTTGTGTGGGTAGATGGTCCTGACAATCGTGGGTGCGAAGAAGGCCAGGCCTTGGACCGTGATATTGTTAAGGAGGAAGATGAAAGAGGTGGCCAGCGTCACGGGGCTGAAGATACCCCGGAGCGTCTTAGCCTTATCGATCTTGTCCAGCACTTCCGTGGTTCCGACCCGCTCCGACTTGACTCGAGCGATCGCCAGTTCCTTCTCCTCCTGCGTCAGCCAGCGAGCTGTCGCAGGCCGGTCGGTAAGAGTAAAGAAAGAGATCAACGCGAGACCGATGGTAATGATGCCCTCAATAGCGAAGATCATGCGCCATGTGTGCAGGCCGCCGAAATGATCCAGTGACAGAATGCCCGAAGCCAGCAGGCCACCGAACGCGCCGGCCAGCGGCGCCATGACAATATAAAGGGAGAGGCGGAAGGCAAGTTCACTGCGACGGTACCACCGGGACAGATAGTAAGCGATGCCGGGCATCATACCCGCTTCGAAGATACCAAGCAAGAATCTGACTCCGGACGCGGCGTGGATGTTGTGGACAAATGCCGTGCCAAGCGAGCAGATGCCGAAGCCCAGCGTGATGGCGGGGAGGAACCAGCCCGGGCCAATCCACTTGCAGGCAATATTGCAAGGAATTTCAAAGACAATGTAGCTGATGTAGAAGATGGATAAGAGGGAATTGTAGTCGTAACCCTTCATGCCGAGGTCTTTCTCAAACCCGGCGAGCTTGGCGTTACCTGAGACGGGATCGTCAGTCAGACCGTGTACGATAAGAAGTGGAGAATAACATACCAATATTTGCTCTGTCAATGAAGCAAAACAGATAAAGAAGCGAGACAGTAGGAACGATGTAGAGATCAATCTTCAGTCGAAGGCGAGATTCCGCCGCAGCGTCGAATTCGACCAAGGCTCGACCATATTGGTCCGTTGCAACCTGACCACGGCTGGCGGCCTCACGAGCTGTTTCATGGGCTAGAGTTGTTTTGAATTCGGAAATGCCCTTTTCCTCCGCCATGACTTGCGAAAGATTATCGTCTCCGGAGTCGGAAACAATCGAGATAAAATGCGTTGGAACCTGTCAAAGATTGACGAGGATGCTGATCACTGCGACAATGAGCTACCCGGAATTTATGCAGCAGCGGTGATTTATAGCTTGATCTCAGGTCGGATACGAGTCTCGACTCTGATCTGCCGAAACGTCAGGACGGGAGTGACTGTCGGAAGAGCGTGGGGACAGAATCTCGAATCCGGGGTCATCGAGATCTGTAACGTGGGGTAGAGCTAATGATCAGAGCTGGTTCAGGTGTACGTCAAGCCTCCAAATGGACGAGTCATTGCCACACAGGTTGGAGAGACGGCATAGCTTAGCGGTAGTCAGATGGCAGATACTAGGGTGAGACAAGCTGACAAAGCTCAAGGAACCGAGGTGTTGACGGTAGGAAAAATCATAAAAGTCCATGCACCTGCCGTCCCCGTACTTTTTTGGTGATTTATGATTCATAATTCCCCCTAGTCGCTTGGCACAACCACATCTTGTCAACCACGCACTGGCTGTCTGACATGCAGACCACGGTTGGTGGTATTGGTACACAGAAATTGGCGAATGGGCCGCGTAGTATCCTCTCTCCAAGAAAACCAGCGACCAATCCCATGGTTCGGGCCATATTAACGTTTTAGCGATGCTTCTTGGCCCTCAGCTGGTGTCCAATCTGGATCCGCCCGCGAGCAATGCCTCTCTTCACAAGAACTCAAATGTAGCCTTGGCAAGTGCCAAGGCTGAAAATGTGTATCAGCTTGGGCAACTTTATGCGAAGCAGGTTGTACTGTGGGTTTGAAGGTGTGAGTTAGCACAAGCCACTTGCCTTTGAGGGCGAGGACTGCAAACTTACCTGGACAAACCCCCTCACGAGAGTGGCATTGGCAGAGGGCGAGAAAGGCACAGTGAGAGAAACAAAACACAAAGCGCCATCATAGAACTCAATAATATACACTCACTTGCAGACTCCTGTAATTGCAAGCAGATTGAGGGCCATAGTGCCGAATCGCAGGATGCTTATGTGAGAGCACCTACAGGAGGTGACGCTGGTCAAAACAACATGACGCTTAGCCGGCCAAAGCGCGTGACTTGGCAAGCATTCAATTTCCTCCCCGCGCTCGAGGTCTCGCTTCTTCTCCCCACAACTCCGGAATTGAGTTATTATCGACGGAGCGACCAATGACAGTAGAACATTGGGAAGCATCAAGTGTGGGGGAGGTGGGGAAAAGGTCGTTTGACGACGAAGTTGAATGAATCGGCTGATTGGCTGCACTCAATGAGGTGAGGAATCAAAACAAGAGCCTGTGAAGGCGTGACTTTCCACCCTAAAAGGAGAACTGGAGTGTATGACACTGATCTCCTCTGGTAAACAGGTAGCTGGAATGAATTTATCCGGCTTGATGATTCATGAGGCAAATCATGCTTTGTCTCCAAACATTCCTCGCCGAACTTGGTCCATCATTTCTCGCCCTATACCCAACAGTCACTGTCACTTTTACTTGCGAGCGGCGCGCTGCAGTGAACTTCTCCTGCCTAGACTCTGCATCAGTATGAAAGCCTTATCCCATCCTGTCTTACTGCCAAGCTGCCATAACACCCGAGCTCTTCACGTCCTCACTTCGAATAGAATCCCGTCCCCTCAGCCGTGCCAAGGGGGCGAGGCATGCCTTGGCATCATCGCATTTACTGGTTGGGACAAAAAAAGTTCAAAAAAAGAAGAAAGCGATAGAGTTGCCTCTCATCATCCTTGACCCATGAGTCGAGTCAGGTATCGTACGCAGACTCTCCTGATTGAATCAAGTCTCCGAATTACGGAGTACCGTTCCCCTCTTCATCCTTGCCTGAGCATCCAACCAGGCATCAGACGCATAATATCCTTGCTGAATCAGTCTCTCCGAAGAACGGAGTACACTTCATCACCCTTGACATGAGCGTGGAGTCAGGCATCAGACGCATGCTCTCCCGGTTGAATGAAGTCCCTCCGAAGTACGGAGTATCGTCAATCCTCATCATATTACGGCTCTCTCTCCATTACAGTATCGGCTCAATTCACAAAAGCCTGCCTAGTCGTTCCGGTCGCTGAGTCCTAACTGTACCAGTCAACCACCAGGCATTGGCGTACAGGCTCAGTCTAATTGCTTCAGCTGAAGTTATATGAGCGAATTGCTAAGTTGCTATATTGTACTCTATGCATCCGCAGAATGACTTTTTGCTCTTATGGATAGCTTGCGGTCCCACATGCATGAAAGAAGTATGGAGAGGAAGAGAGGTCATGGAGTCATAGCTATTCCCGGTGGGATAGTCCTTGAGAAGCAATAGACGAGGTCTCGCTCACTCTTTTAGCATAACTAGTCCTCTCGTAACGTTCTAAATGTTATCAAGCTGGAATAAAACCTCACAGAGCGTCTTCTCACCTCAGTCACGATGTTGTAGCAAAACACCGTGGTGGGCAAACTCGGAAATACGGACCAATCACGTGATGTAAATCCGAGATTTTCTCCCGCGATGTACCCGAAGAACAAAGCAATGAGAACAACTTGCTCCTTAGGGTCCGGTTATTTCAGTTATTTTATTGAATGGCTGAAACCCTTCAATCAGGCGAGCCATCCGGTTGGCGAATACCCAAGGCTTGTCAAGAATGCAGAAAGCGAAAAATCAAGTGTAATGGAGTCAACCCCTGCAAGACATGTCGGGTGCGGAACACTCCATGTGTCTACCGGGATGTGATCCGGCAGCGCAAGAAAAAGAAGCATGGCGTCGTAGACGAGGGCCTGGCTTCCCGTGAATCTACACGCCCTGAGCTCGGTACACAGCAGCCATCCTCACCGCTGCCCCAGCCGGTAGGCCGCCGAAACAAATCAGCCAGCTATACTTTCCACAACAGTGTTTCAGCAACGCACATGGCATCTCCGTCATGCAAGGTGCAACTGTATTATGGACCGACGTCCCATTTTACTCTTATGCATGAGATTTACCGGGGGTTGGTTTCGAATCAAACCACTCATCCCGAGGAGCCGCAGGGCGAAGTCGAAGAGGCTGGGGCTGGGCTTGATATGTTCAGTGTTCGGGGCATCTTCTTCGGTACTCCAGCCGAGACGCATGATCCCAATAAGGGGATTGATACCACAGTCGCCCCCGTGATGTTCTTGCCGTATGAGCTGGCCAGAATATTTCTGCAACGATTTTTGTCCACGCTGTACCATCTGGTGCCATTCTGGTCCAAAGAGCTTTATGAGCGCCAGCTAGAACACTTGTATCTCCCTTCCTCAGGTACCGGCTCTGATGCCTGTGCCAACTCCATCTTACTGATGGCTTTGGCCATGGGATCCCTGGGCACACAGCATTATCGCTGGGGAGATATTCTGTTTGAGCGGGTCAAGGCGTCTTGTCCTTCCTGGGATGACGTGGTGAATCTGGAGATTGTACAGCTGTCATTGATGATGATAAGTATATTCCGTCCTCTGCGGTGTAAGCTTATGCCTGACGCTTGGCTAGCACGCTCATTTTCAAACGGAGCAAGGTCGCCCAAATTCTTCCTTTCTCTACCTGGGCACAGCTGCGAGGAAGGCCATCTCAGCTGGCTTGCACAAGGAATCGCCGACTGAAGGAGGAGAGGGTAGGGAAATTGTGGAACAAAGACGATTGACCTTTTGGTCCTTGTTTTTCTACGAGACGTTCGTCCTTGCTCACTGATTCTGCCTTTGTAAAATCGCTCTGCTGACGGCTCGCCAGCTGGATTTGCTTTCATCTTGGTCGCCCAAGCTCGCTCTCGTCGAGGGACGTTGGCATTGCACCTCCCAAAGATCCATTTATTCTCATTCTTATTCACCTCACAAACGTCATGGCTCGTTCGGCAAACGAAATTTACGGCCGACCGCACGACTCATTGCTGCAAATGTGGAAGCTGGCCAGATCCATCTCAGAAGACCTTCGTTGTTACGACGAGAAAATGAAGCTTGCTCTCGGGTTCGGGCTTGACAAATGCCCCCAGCCGGGCGCTGTCGGAGTTCGGCAGGCCATTCTCATAACCTGTAAGTCATTGATATGCAGTAGTGAACGGACAAGCTAAGAAAGATAGTATACTATCACACCATCCTTTTGACGTTTCGACCGTTCTTGATCTTTCGCGGACGATGGCAGCGCGATACCAAAAAGTCTTCTTGCGAGACTGGGCCCAACCCAACTAAACGTCCGACGGAAATGCCGGCGTGGCTGAACGAGGCGTGCGACCACGCGGTCCACGCTGCGTGTAGAACTCTCCATCATCTATGTGAGGCTGCTATCGTCAATGAGTTTGTTCGGGTATGCTTTCCTCGTATGCAAACATCGGATTTTTACACATATCGGAGCTAAAAAGTCGTTAGGAACTTCGCTATCATGGCTTCTTCGTGACCAGCGCCTGCTTTGCACTTATTTACGACTTCATGTATAATGAGAAAGTTGCTCCTACACACCTTCCATGGGTTCACGTGGGCATCCAATGTCTTGGAGCCATGCGGCCGGGGGATCCCATCACAAGCTCTATTTCAGCTATACAAACTGTCCTGAAGAAACTGCACCCATCATATGAATGGGTGCCACCTGGACCTGTCCAGGGTCGGGCATATGCACCAAACCCTATGGGCCCGGCATCATCTCACCCATATGCTAGTGGAGACGCATCGAGCCAGACAAATCCTATGCGAGAAGCTTTCCCTAGTGAGACATTTCTAGGAGGGTACCTTCCCACAATGCCAAACATTCAAGTCAACCCGCTTCAGAGCGATATTCCGGAAGCCTCTGCTAGTGTTGGGAGCAGCGAGGATCTCCCAGATTTCAATCTGTCGGACATGGGATGGGATTTTGACTTTTCCACGATGGATCTTGAAGCGTTTTTCTCTATCCAGCCCACTATGAATCCTTCGCAGACACTTTAATTCCGGCGGGATTAAGCGATTCACAGTATAGCTGCTGATCGGTGGCTTTGGCTTTACTACGCCATCATATAGCCTTGCACTTCTGGTCCACCTCGGAATGCCGATACCACTCGAAACATGCAATGCTACCGTTCGCTGGGTTATCTCTGCTTTGTTTGAGGATAAACCTTGTTTTTCTAAGGCTACGGACTCTTCTGCGAACTATTGCTATCTGAGTTCCATCCCGAGAAGGTGAACGTTTTGTCTTCCATGGCTGAGACGGGGAGCGGTCCCCTGCTTTCGACCATCGAGATATCATCATCATAAGCATGCTCGAATATTGAGAGGGAAATGGATAATGTTTCGACTACAAGATCTTATTGTTGTCGGGATTCCCCCGGTATCAACTGAGAGTGATTGGGCGATTACCCACTCGTAAGAGTTTTCGTTTCCAACCAGGAGAATTTGAACCTGTTGATCAAACGTCTCTCTCTGAGCCGAGGTCCAGATCCCGAGATGAAGTCATACACTTTCCAGTCATGCAAAAGACTCTGATTACGAATCTACCTTTTATATTCTGAGCGAGTGCTCAGACTGGACAACGATGAAACTTGTCCTACCTTGCTTCAAGAGTTCAATTTCGTCTCTTAAGCACAACTAGCTTTAGCAGGTATGGATTTCAGTTAAATTAATATAGAATGTTATCTCTGGTACATGCATCTCATTTGCCCGCCAAGTGATAAAATATATTTACGACACTCATACAGAATTAGCAAAAGTTCACTACCATGAGACCTTTTCAAATTGGATATCTAGAGTAATACCTTCCTGCCAACATTTCCGCCGTCTCATCTTATGTAGAATAAATCTCCGGTTGACCCTGTGAATCGGTCGCCAACCTCCTTCCGCATGCAGCAGCTCGCTCGCAAAAATGGTATCTCCGGACCGATCCACGGCCCATTGCGAGGAGGAGGCTGGAACCAAACATTCTACCTTACGCAGTAACAGTAATTGCACTGACGGGGATGGATGGCCTCTCTCTGGTCGAACCAAAACCATCGAATGTATCGTTCTGCGACCATCTGTGTTTATCTCCCTTGCACTTCTCCAGGCAGCGAAGAAACAACACGATTAGATGGCTAACATTACTCATGCTAGCTTGATTCTTCTATTATTAAAGGATCGTAAGGCTGAATGTCGGAATCAGATTGCCCGACAAATTTCGGTCTTGGCTCTGAGTTTCGGAAGATTTACTTAGCAGCAAGGTGACATTACGCGAGATGGAACCATGGACGAATGCTGAAGTCAGCGATCGACCGGAGCCATCCGTGAGCACAGCTGATGGGTGAACAGCCAATGACACTGTGTACTGGATTGTCTGGTGTACCTAGCTATCTGCTGACTGTTTTCTTGTCCATGGTCTAGACGATCGGAGATATTTCCCCCACAGTTTGAGAACTCTTCATCGGTCCCCCCGAATTTTCCGACATGTACTCCGTCTATTCTTATTCACAGCTCGCTGTGCTTTTGCCATTCTGTGTCGATCTCTGATCACCGAACAAGCTTGTGTGACCAAGTCTAGGATGCATCGCTAACTCGATGATGCCACTGTCGGGCTCTGCGGTATCACCTCTGCTGAGCACTGCGCAAGGAACGGTCCTAGAGCAGGACGAGTATGTCTCATGCTTCATTCTGCGGTTGAACGAGTCTTTACTGACTGAATAGGTTTCGTTCGTCTCACTCTCAGGATGGAATCAACGAGCCCCTCGAGGCAGCTAGTGCGCGAGGTACAGTCCACAGGCGAGACAAGTCAAGTCCAGCGGCTTCCTTGATCGCTTACGCACAATTGGCGACGTATCGGTTCGGCTGCAGCCAGTCGTTTGTGGTTCGTTTCGAGCGAGGACAGGCAAATATCATCGCGGAAGCATCACCTTCCCTCCTGTTAGATGGAGAGGGCGGGGTTGATGTTGATGAGGGTCACCGGCAAGTAAAGGTGTTGAGCCTGCGCCTGGCTGAGGCTCATGTCGTCGATACTCCCAACGTTATTACCAACAGCACCCGTTGTATCATACGTGATCTCAGGCAGGACAATCATTATGACAACCAGGAGATCCAGTTCTTCGCAGCGGTCCCGATTCATGATGTGAACAAAGATACTACTGGCGCTGTTTGTGTAGTAGACAAGACGCCACATCGGAATTTTGGAGACGGCGAGGTCGCAAGCATGCAGGAGATTGCTGATCTGGTTGCTTGTAGCATCAAGGAGAGCTCGGCCGAAGAGCACCATCTTCAAGCAGAGCGGCTTATCAATGGTCTGACCACTTTCGTCAGCGGTCAGGTCGTCCCGGACCTTGAGCAAAGCTATCACTTCAAGAGACGGCCATCATACCTTCCTGGTATCGATGATGTTTCGCTCTCAGAGAAATGTAGCGTGGGCTCGCCACAATACACGCATCCTCAAACCCCGGGGACCCCGCCAAACCAGTTCTTCTCCAGAATCCACGGAAGGCGAAATTCGGTGACTGTTATCGAGGGAAGCACAGTATCCCACTCAATGTCGCTTTTGTTCTCTCGTGCTAGTGCTTTACTTCAGAAATGTATGGAGCTGGATGGCGTGCTTTTTCTGGACGCCACTCGAAGTAATGCTCGAAGGTTCGTCTCACCTGACACTGCTCGTCATCAATCTAACGTCTCTAGCTCCTGCTCTCCTAGCATGAGTGACTTGGAAATGTTCTCCAAGGACGGCGATTCTGCCATCAACTCTCCGGGCTTATCCTCAGCCGGGCCTTGGCGAGAGAGGGTATGCGAGCCTTTGGGCTGTGCGTCATCGGGATCTGCAAATCGCTGTACCTCGCAGTATTCGATCTCAGAAGGCTTGCTGCATGACTTGTTTGCCGCGTATCCAAAAGGCACCATCTTGAATACCCGCACCCTGGTTGACTGTACCAGTCAGAAATGTGGTCATGGCACGGATGCAAAGGGATCGCGTCATCACGCGATCATCCTTCGTCTGGTACAAGACCTTCCAGAGGCCAGGTCACTCCTTTTTCTGCCAATGTGGAACTGGAATACATCGCGCTGGCTGGCTGGAGCCCTCTTGTGGACATGTGACAGTCAACGACCTTTTAACCAAACCGATTTGTTCTATGTCAAGGCCTACGGTGACGCAATTGTATCAGAAGCGGCTCAAATGGACTGGCAGGCGACAGAAAAGTCCAAATCAGATCTATTGTCATCCGTCAGCCACGAGCTAAGATCACCACTCCATGGCATGCTTGCCAGTGTAGAGCTGTTGCACACCACGGATCTTCAACCGGCTCAGCAGGATATGCTCACGATGATTGAAACCTGTGGCCTGACACTGATGGATACGCTGAATTACCTGTGAGTTGGCAGCTCCGCCGCAGGATCTCACTAACATAAATGAAGGCTGGATTTTACAAAAATCAACAATCTGACTAGTGCGGACGCAAAGAATGACGGGGATACTGAGACCTCTCTCGCCGATCTAACGTGCGAATTCGATTTGGACACTCTGGTAGAGGATGTGGCGGACACGTTGTATGCCGGTCACCGGTCCCTGGTTAACGCTTCCCAAGTCGCCGGCCGGTACCTGCCGAGCGGGTCAACGGTGGGAATTAGATCTGCCAAGGGCACCGAAAACCCCACGGAATCGAACGACTTATCAGTGATTGTGCGGATTGAGCCAGGAGACTGGAAAGTGCGATCCATTCCCGGCGGATGGAGAAGAATCGTTATGAACCTGCTCGGCAATGCATTCAAGTTCACCAAATCTGGTTTCATTGAGGTCACCCTCGCCAGGAAGATTGAGAGAACTGGCGGCACGAAGAGGGTGTATGCTCATTTGACAATCACAGATACCGGATGTGGCATCTCTCCGGAGTACCTGGAGCACAAACTATTTCATCCATTCACCCAAGAGAACATCCTGACGGAAGGGGTTGGCCTGGGACTAAGTATTGTCGACCGACTAGTGACAAATGCGGGTGGCCAAATTGACGTGAAGAGTACAGTCGGTACTGGAACTCAATTCGACGTGTACATTCCAGTTGAATTCGTCGATAAGCTGGAGGAAGGTGCTTCTGAGCAAGAGCAACCACAGAGCGTGTCAGTCTCTCGAGTTATTCTGGTCGGCCTGAACGTGTTTGCCAGTATGAAGACGTCAAGCCGAAGACTGAGCGTTGACGCCAAGAGGAAGCTGTCAGTTCGCAGTGCACTGAGTAATGTAATCCTCGGCCAGCCTGGCTGGACAGTCTCCTTTGCCGACACCTTGTCTCGAGCAAAGGGCGATATTGGTATTGTCGAGGAGAGCAGTCTGGCTGAAATGGCAGAACCAGAGCAAATAACTACAGGCCTGAAGGCACTGGTCATACTAGGACAGTATGGTAGTAACCTGTCAGTCGATCCTGTTACGAAAGAGCTGGATGTGGTCTACGTTCCTCAACCGTAAGTAGCACCAGAGTCTGAGCAAGAGTGAAACTAACAGGATAGACTCACGCCTCGGAAAATCATCGGCGCCCTTCATGCACTTTCCAGCCTGCCCGAAGCATCGGAACATATCGGTAGTGCTGATAGTCTGCCACATCGTCAGCGCAGCTTATCGGAAGCTTTTGCCCTGGCCAAACAGACCGAGTCACCACCGGTGGTGGAGGAAGCCGTGGGCGAGTTCCGTGCCTCAACGCCCAAGGCATCAAAAACGATCGATCGTCATGTACTGATTGTGGACGATAATGACATCAATATCAAAATATTGGCTACTTTTATGCGTCGCATTGGCTGCAGCTACGAGACAGCGAATAACGGACTCGTGGCGCTGGAGAAGTACCAGCAGGCCCAGCGCCAGTTCAACTATGTCCTGATGGGTAGGTTGCGTCCTTTGAGAACTATGATCCGGCTAACAGCAATAGATATTTCAATGCCAGTTATGGATGGGATCATCTCCACAAGCAAGATTCGAGAGTACGAGGAGGAGAATTCCCTTCCCCGGGCTGCCATCATGG